AATCATTTATTTCCGAATGTGAAGATCGGTTAAAATTTGCTTACGAACAGGACTGGCATTGGTCTTTAGCAAATAGTTCTAAAATGTTCCATTATACACTTTTCAAAAATTCATTCAGTCTAGAGTTGTATTTGTCTGCTATCACTATCAACAAATTTCGTGTTGCACTAGCCCAGTTTCGCTGTAGCTCCCATACTCTCCATATTGAGACTGGTAGATGGGTTAATACTCCACGAGAGCAGAGATTGTGCAATAGTTGCAACCAAAGATATGTCGAGAATGAATATCATTTTTTATTAATTTGTAACGCTTATGATGAACTTCGTCTTCAGTATTTACCACAGAAGTATTTTGTACATCCTACTCTTGCTAAATTCAATATGCTTATGGCGGTAAACAATGAAACTGTAATTAGAAATGTTGCAACTTTTATATACCATGCTATGAATGTTAGACTCCAAACACTAAGCCTATAAATGTTAATGATGGACCAAATATTGTACCATGGGCCGCTGGCCTACACATGTACATGAATAAAGAATTAGAATTGTCATGGATCTTAGTGTGACATTTATAAGAATTCCACAACAAAACGTCGAGAAGAATATGTAATCATACTTGTTCAGCTTCGTTGAAATATCAACATTTTGAAGATTTCGTATGTGTGTATGTCTACCAGTAGTAATATGTATATTGCTGTTAAACTTACGTCAGTGAAACCTTCATTGTCACAAACCGTACGGGCCCCTCCTCGTTCTCGCTTGTGTCTGGCGAGTTTGTTGGATGGTGACTGCATACGCCTAAATGAAGATTTGAACCGTGGCTTAATTAGAATATACATGTAGTTTCCTGGCCAGAAGTCATCTGTGAGTAGTGATTGTGTAATTTGCTTCCATCCCCTGGACGAGCCAAACTAAAATATGTTAAAAGATGGTACTCGTTGTTACCCTCAAGCGCTCAGCATTAAGGGAATAATACAAGGACTGACAGGCCTGGAGTCAGTGTTATGTGTCTGAGTGGGGCATCCATGCTACACTGCAGCATATCCGAAGGTTAGCACAATAAAACAGCATACATTTAAGTCGAGACCAGTACAAGCTGCCAAGACACACGTGCATGCACGTCACTATATAAGTCAATAATCTTGAACGCAATGTTCAACCTCATCTCACTCTTATAAGCGAGAGACGAGGGAGATTCATGGCCTTTTAGGACCTGGTTTATCCATTTGCAAGTGCCGATGAGATACCTATTCATGCCAGACCCGTGAAGATCCGGGGTAGAATTATAGGTCTTCAGCAACCTATGCTTGTCGTAAGAGGCGACTTTTTTGATACATGTCATCGATCCCAATTGCGTGGACCGATGCGCATGATATCAATCACTGGATTGTTTGGGCAAAAACTCGATTATTTACAGATCGCCGTCATATAGCTGGAATATTGCCGAGGGTGGCGTTAAACAACAAACAAACAAACAGTGACAAACTATGGATATTGGTGAATGCACAGACGTGTATTATAAGGCCTGCAACTAATTGCTGCTGTCATATATTTGACTGTGTATATATGTACTGCCTTTTGTGATTGTAAACCAATAACTATGTATTTTAATATGAGTTGTTAATTATTGGCTTTGTGAGGATAGTTACTGATTTCACAATTTAGTTCTGTTCGAACTGAAGACTGGGTCATTTCTTCTTTTCTATTTGCAGATCACCATGTAACAACATTACAATAGAGAGTATTTTTTTCATGGATACACATTTTTGTTGTATATTTCATTTAATCATTATCTTTATTCCTGTATAAAAAGGCCACACGGTTTCGGTGCGGTAGGACCTCATATGTATTGCGATAATAGGAGGTTAATCAACCTGAGATCCCTACCACTCTATCCGGCCCGTGAAGATCCGCCTTACAATTTGGGCCTTCAGCAAACCTTACTTGCTATAGGAGGCGCCGGGGTATTTGACTTTGTCGCTTCGCTTTTGTTGAGGTCGTATAGTTCCAAATATTAAAATAAAACACAACGTGGCGGCAACATGACTCTATCTTGCGGTTATCGCCCTTGGGACAATGAATCCGAGTTAGTTTGGTTGACGCAGCTTTGAAGAGAATTTCAGTTCTATCAGTTATGTCATACTTGTCATACGAGGCGACTGTGCTTGTCGTGAGAGGCGACTAACGGGATTGGGTGGTCAGGTTTGCTGACTTGGTTGATGCATGTCATTGTATTTCAACTGCGAAGATTGATGCTCATAATGTCAATCACTGGATTGTCTTGTCCAGACTCGATTATTTACAGACCGCCGTCATATAGCGGTGATAATGCTGAGTGTGGCGTTTAATATCTGGGAAATCGACCGACTTAGAAGTGTATAAACAAAGTAGCCAGACTGGTGACAGGTATATTTCAAATCGTTTAATGTGAACAGGATTTTTCCAGTAGCCGACGCTAATTGCCCTGACAACATATCTGACCATTTCATTGCTTGTCAGGGGCACAGGTGGCCCAGCCGTCTAAGACGCCGCGATTCGCTATGCAGAGTTGCGTCCCTTGTGCATGCCAGCACCATACCCGTGCTCGTGGGTTTCACCGAAGTGGTAAACGTCTGAGACCTGCATCACTTCGGGCTTTCCTCCCACAATAAGCTGAAACGCCGTGATATAACTGGGATACTGATAAAAGCGGCGTTAAACCCAATTCACTCACTCACTCATTGCTTGTCTCTCACAGCCATACAGCGCCCTCTGCGGAAGTTGGATGTGGACAAGCCACGTCAAAACGATGAAGACAAGATAAGATATCAGACCTTTTTTTCAAGGGGAGGATCTAGCGGTTTAATTACAGGAAACTATTAATAGGGATGTTAATTACGCTATGATAATTTCTTGTCCTTTATGTAATCAGAATGTGATAAGACAGTCGGGCCTACTGCCACTGGCAGAAAGAATAACGGAAAAAAGAAGCGCTCCTTCCAAGCAACAGAACAACAGCGTTTACTGGACAAGTACAAAACACAAGACTCTCGAAATTTCTGGAAAGCTATGGGTAAATTGGGTGTGGCCTATGAACGTGAGTGAGTGAGTATATTTTTACGCCGTTTTTCGCAATATTCCAGCAATATCATGGCGGGGGACACCAGAAATGGGCTTCACATGATCGCGTTAGTCGCCCCTACGACAAGCATGGGTTGCTGAAGACAACCCAGATCTTCACGGGTCTGATGTGGAGGAAGCTATTGCCTAATCCTTCTACAATTATTATTGAAGTCTTGTTTTGAAATGCACCGGTAGATGCCTTCGAAATATTACCAGGTCTATCAATTAAATGGCTTAAGAAACACGAGCGTCGACGTTGCAGTATTATTTATATGGGAGCATCACCCTATGCAACCCTTGAGGAGGTCCAAGTTAATAAAAGTGATAGCATGTCTCTTACTAAGATATTTATGCCGTATAATATACATTTAATAAGGTTGATGTATACTCTCAAAACATATGACTTGCTTGATAACGTGTTAGAACCTACACCAAAACGTCGCTCTTAATTGTAATAAAGAAGTTCTTCATCCATAAATTCTTATCCTTACTTACTAAAAGGAAGTCTGGTGGGGGACTCTGGATATCTTTTCCGAATGCGGGTTCTAACATATACCACCACCTATAACAAGATATTGGAAAAGAATACAGACACCAGGAAACTGACCACATTGCAAACAACAAGAAACACCAGAACACATACTCATTCACCGCACACACTACCAAACACACCGAACAACACTACAGACCACCCTAAATCTTAAAACCGGACTTACACTAGAATCAATCCTAAATCCACAAAATAAATTAGAAAAATTCAAAGCTTTAGGCATATACCTTATTAAAACAGGACTAATTAGTCGCATTTAAACCCCAAATAAAATATTAAAACCAAAACTACCTCCAATATAAGTAAGTCAGTAAGAATACAGACTGACATGTTCGCTGACTGTAGATAGGATATGTGATCGTAACAATAATCGGATATGCCCATGCATACAGGATCTCATTTGTGTTTGTGATTTTTACAACTGCCCAATGACCGTACTGAGTATTGGTGCTTGGGGATACCAACATTAACAGTTTGCTATTAGAGGTAATTGCCAATGAAGACTTGTGAACATCATTTATAAAGGATGTCTTAAGGAGTTTTAATCCTTTGTTTCTATGTAGGAAGTAACTCATCCAGTTTATGAATTTTATGTCATTCTTGTGTATGCTTATTTCAATATACTAGTATATTCATGGGTCTATACATGCACTTTGGCAAAGTGGGCACTGCAACCCTGATGGTGAAACGGCCTAATCCCTTAATCCTTTGTTGTTATAAGATCCAAATTCAGAAGTTGGCACAGTGGGGGTAAACCACTAAAACCCGTGTTTTTCTGTGACAAGTTCCAGCTGGTGACATTTTAGTGAACTTCACAAGTTACTTATTCATAGTATTAACGTTATGCTTTCTTCATCTATCCTCCACATATATTCAAGGAGTGTGGGAAAATATTATAAGGAATGTATTATGTTGTTTCCTTTTGTGATGATAGAGGAGCTTGCGAACTGCACAAATAACAACAAAATTAAGTGAATACCTTTGATTAAACATTATAACAAGAAGAAAAAAGAAAATAAGAAAATATTTTATTTATGTGTCACATGTGTACACATTAGACATAAAAAACCATGAAAGGCCTATGAGACAATGAACAATGAAACCCAATAGCAAAGGATTACGTGAAAACATTTTTGAAATAAGTGCGGCAAGAGGTTTTATATAACCTTACTTTTTACCACTCGCGACGCCGAATAGGTATTTTGCATCAGTGAACTTCCACACGAACAACCAAGGAGAAGGGATAAGATGAGAAGCGGTGGAAACTCACTTTAAATAACAGTTACATGTGATCGAACAGGTTTATGTCTTTGAGGGGAATTTAGAAGTTGGAGGGGAATTGTGTGTATGTGTATTAATAGTGAAATCAAACATGGTTAAGAAAAATACATTAAAAAATACATTCATTGAGTAGAAGTGGCATGGAATTTGTTGAATACTGGGACATTTTGTTTCAATAAGCTGTAACAGACTGATAGTTTCTCATCCAGAGACTAGTATATAGAGCACAAAACAATACCTTTTTTAACACGTAAAAAATCACCAAATCTATAAGGCAAGGGGAATATTCATTTATATATGGAATAAATTAATGCGACGAGAGCGCATATGACGATTTTGGCAATTATTGCAAGCGACTGGAGCGTGTAAACGCCGCATGTTATATTCGCCAGAAAAATCTGCCGCTTAGAGCGTGTGAATCAAGGGCAGATAAATATGTTTCTAATAGGCCATAAGTATGTTAACAATGATTTTTGATATTGTATTGATGGCAATAATATTAAACTAAGGATTAAAAATCTTCCTTGTTATTGGTCCCGTTATCAGTGACTTACATGTTATCTCCACAAAGCCATGACATTAGCTATTTCTTATATATATTGATATGAAGTTGAATTCTTTTAGAAAATCTTTAGACCTCGGCGACATGATTCATATCTTTGTGGACAGTTTCGCTGTTTACCATTAAACTTCATCCCTCTCACAGTAGTGCCGGATATGGCCTGAAAAAGCTCCAGTTTTTCCGCATCATAAAGTATCTGGCGAGTGGACACCTGTGCGGAATAATATGACATGTCGAGAAGCCCAAAGCGAATCTGGAACACCAGTTCCCCGAGAACTACCCTCATAGTCGAATCTTGTACATGCTTGCTTTGACGTTTACATTCCGCTTCTGCCCAGCGAAGCATTGCCACGAAGACGATGTGTTCCTGGCAGGCCAAAGAGTTGGAGGAAATGACATCTAAGACGCATGCGCGCGAGAGCTCCTGGAATCCGTCTGTTTGCAACACAGTAGCCCCCTGTTGGTGAATGAAGGAGAGACAACTCTGGTACAACTGCTGCTCGTCAAAGATGTGAGCTTGTTCCAACAAAGAACACACATTGTCGACAGACATCGTCTGCTTTACAAAATCGACGCACTTGGTCAGCAGAGACTGGACGTTGTACTTCTTACAGCAGTAGAGGACGGAGAGCACGTTGTCGGAGTCAATGAGTTCCTCGTCACAGTACAGGTACCTGAAACAGAAATAACTTACACTACAAATTGTATTTCCTGTTCTTCTAGGCATCGTTTTTTTATGCAGTGTTTAAGATTACCGTGTGTATTTTTTTCGTATACTGAGCCAGAAACAGCAATCAAATGTTCAATCGTTTTCTCCCAATCTACCGGTGATTCTGTTAAAAATTACCCAATAATATTACTTCAAAGAATCTTGACGAATAATTGTATCTGAAACGATTACTTTATCAGGATTAATATATTCCAATATCGTGTTATTTTAGCTGCAGCTTTACTATATATATTTCAGATTATGATAACCATAAGCGTACCTTTGGTACAGTGATAACTATTGCCAGATATTTTTACCTATGGACAATTTGTCCAAGCACCGAGGAGGCGCTCGCTAAAACTTTATGTTGACATATAATAGTCAAATTGCATGCAATATGACTTTTTAGCGAGTCAAATGAAGGCATTTGTGATATATGTATGCATCCTCGGTCCACTTTAGTTCGTTGCAATGCGTCAGTGGCGGTAATCTGACTGTGGTGGCTGTAAATAACGATGAGTTGTGCAATCAACTGATCACTTCATACACGATTTCTCCGAAATTAATGTAAACAATATTCAATGAACTTTAAAAAAAATAGTTTATGAACATAAGTCCAGATGTACAATGAACACATTTTTTATAACCAGACGGTGTTATTACAAGATCAATTTCGGTACGGATTTGTTGACATTGTATTTCCGGTGTTAGGTGCCCGTGGTAATATCTTTGCGTTGGGGAAAAAAGATCAAAACTCTTCTGCCCTGTGTATAGGGCGACCCCCTTGAAACCCCCATAATTCTAGAAACGAAAAACTAGCCGTATATCTACGCTATATACGGTAAAGGAATAAATATTGATTGCCCGACATCCAAACTTAGAATGGAGAATTTACCTCATGAGTGTTAACCCCTCTAAGGCAATATTCCAGTATGATCACGGTGGGGGACACCGAACATAGGTGTAACACAACCACGCTTTTGGCGTGACAAACGAACGCTTTAACCACTAGGCTACCCCATTGCCCTCACTTGATGAAGTTTGTATCCTTATTTAAATATATAGATATAATTAGTAATATACTGAACCGCAAAAGAAACGTCACCCCAAGTAACAGTGCTTGAAAAGTTGTCATTTAAATTTCTGGGTATTTTTTGTCAAAGTTTCTAAAATTAAACATTACCTTGTAGGGAAAAATGAAATTTGATGATAAAAAACAAAGCAGATGACCAAAAAACCGATCGCCCAAATGCATCACAGCAACAGCCATGGTAACGCGATGCACGTGAGTTGAAATGCACATGCGTTCCCCCATTTCTTGCCCTATAAAAATCCACCAAGATCGGATAACATTCGTTCGCTATTGAATTGCTACCACATTTGCTAAGATTGACAAGAAATCTGCGACACCAAGCCCTTCTTAAGAATTGAGACCGATCATACCGTAAGAAAGTATTGAAGGGTCCCGGCTCTATGTCAGGAACATCCACGTTAGCACCTTGGGGCACCGACCCACTGAACATGGTGAAGAAGACATCACTCCTGGCACTCAGCACATACTTGTGGGCACCTACCGGCGACTTCGACTGCCCGATCTTAAACTTGACATCACACGCAAGCTGTTTCTCAAACATCCGTCGGTTACATCCGATGATTGTGTCCTCAGGGTTGTGAACAGTTGTACCTTTGGAAATATGAAGTTGAGAATGTTATAGTGTATGATTAGTATATAGTATAATACTATACCACATACTGTACCACACAAAGGGACAATATGTCCCAAATTCATTACCAACCTTTGATGTGTACGTATCATGTGGACTCGAAATTTACATATACATAATAATGTATTACACGAGTCATGAAATAAAAGACATTCAAGTGAATTCAATCACACAGCCTCTGTCACAGTGTTGGTATTGGTAAATTACGATTCGCTATATAATATATAAATAACTATAGCTTACCTGACGGTGTGGTATTACACACACTCTAAGTTGAAATGTCATCTTAAGAAACCATATCATCTGTAGTCAGCATCTGTATTCTGATTTCAAGTCTCTTTTTTTCTGACTTGTACGATATGTTCCCGTGTTTTTTCAGGTTAACAATTGACTTGCCTTTGCATGTGTTTGTGACGGGAGCCACCTTTTCGCGATTATCAGGTATCGTCACTATTTGATAGTGATTCATAAACACATGCTCATGATATAGTCGGAATTGTACCATCGACTCTGCTTTATTCTTTTTGATATGGAAAGGGTTTTGTCTCGGGTTTTTTCCATTAACTATATGGATACACCAAAGTTTACGGATGTAAAGAAGTGATAAACTATACTTATTTTCTAGTTCGGACTGAGAAGTTCACCAAGATACAAAGAATTTGTAAAAACAAAGGCAGTATCTCTTTGTCACACCCTGATCAGACATTTTTTTTTATCCAGAGTGCCTGATTAATTCAGATGCAGAATAAATTATATAATTCTTGATTCATTTCATATATAACTGTGATGAATATTGAAATGTATTTAAACCAAAAAGTAATTCTCTACCATGATTTGGGGAGATCGTCATTATTTGCGCAAGAGCTAGTGTTTATTGGTTTACATATTGTTCACGATTTGGTTATGATTATGTTCAAAATGAGCTTCATATTTACTTGACAGTGATTTTGCTGACTTCAGGACATTTTCATCTGGGTTTTTTAAATATCGATAGGATTTTACCAAATTTTGTTCTGCCACCACAGGTTATGGAATATAGATCCGATTGATTAGCCATAACCATGGCAATTACAGGTGCTCATTTCATCTTGGATCCTCTCAATGTTTTCCACTGTTGTCACATCCATGTACCTAAATACTGGCTGTTTAATAAGTCCAATATTCTGGAAATGTGACCAGGGATTTGTATCTAAATTAAAATTCCAAACTAAGTGACCTTGTTAAACATATTGGGATAAAAAACTTATAACTTATAATTTCCTTAAATTCTGTTTTATTTTAGGATGGCATAGATATGTTAAAACTATTGAAAAGGGAAAGTTTACTGACATCTGATGCAGATTTGGGGCTGAATATCAGCCTCTGAGCTGGTTTAGATTTAACTCTGGTAACATATGCCAAACCTCATGTTCCAGATGCCCAAATAAAATATATGTTATGATTCATTTATTATATAATAAAAAACAATGTAGCAGTGAGGGGAAATAATGTACTGCTTTGATTTTATCAGCTATTCTTTTATTTTTATTCATTACAAAAAGGCTCACTAACTCTATGCCTTTCAGGTTATATTGGTTTTATTTAGAGCACCCGATATAAAACGTGGACAATGTTTACTGTTGACAAATCTATTTATAGATATCCACATGATTTGCAACTTGTGCTTGTGTTTACGGTTTCCAATTATTTCAATATTATTTCGATGAAAAAAAATTAGTTACCCCGCCCTCGGATGAAAAATATGATATTGACATGATATATATTGACAATTTAATATACTGTGCCTGACATACAATTTGACAACTACAGTAGAACCTAAAACAGATTATATAGAACCATCTTCTTTAGATATTTTTGACACACTACTAGTAACAAAATATTCTGAGCCAAAATTCCTCGCTCGCGCAATCAAGTTTAGCCAGTGGTTCTCCCCCTAACGCCTAAAACGAGGACGGCAGCTTGTGGGCGGGGCTGATCGGTCGGGACTGGATCGGTGGTTATCTCCCATTGGTTACACACCTGGATGAGGTTATGTCGGTCACCCGCCCTTGTTATCTATCTGGCTGCCATAGGTTGACTTTCCTTGTATATTGCGCAACTGTCTACATGTAACTAAACACATGCTGAACTTTCACTTTATACATAAAATGTATTACTATATAGACTGCCATATCGCAAATCTTACCTTTAACAAATATGTATAACCTAAATACCATCCCATGAACTATACTAGATTAATGGACGCTTTAGCCGAGAGCCGAGAGACGCGATTGGGTCATACAGTAAAGACACCACCCTGCATTACGTGATTTAGTGTCATGTCTTGACTGTAGGACCCAATCTCGGTTCTCGGCTGTGGACGCTCGTGTTTGCTGTCGTTGGATGGAAATTGAATGCGTTACAACCTATACCTTGCTCACGTATAGCCCATCTCGACCCGCCTCTGTTCATACTTGTGGCAGCCGCTATGTCCGTTGAATAGAAAGGAGATTTCAGGGAAATACTCACTGCTATGGTTAGGGAGCGCTAATTGTGTTTCCTTTTTGCATAACGTGCTTTGACCGATACAGGTGACACTGACATGCCGTGTTTCCTCGCATAAACGAGCTCAGGGTTTAGCCTTGTTGAATTATGTATGGAGTGGGTACTTTGTTACGATCCCGATTTGTGTATTCACGTACTTTATTTAAGAAATAAACCACAAGCGGGAGCTGCTTATCGTACAATAAAACAGTGTTTAGAGAAGGGACCACGAGGGGTTGCGTGGTTTATTCTCCCTGTAGTGTTTTATTGTACGATATAGAAAGACCAGGAGTCGTCTATTTCTTATATTAGACATCAACATTATTTGCAGCCTCTTTAATTTCATTTACAGGCACAAAAATACTTACCCGTATATTTGAATAATGATGCCTCCACGAATAAAATCCAATCCCGGCAATGTCGGACAAGTCCATTTTATAAACAGGGAACTGTGAAATGAACCCCTCGTGTTTTCTCACTGCAGTGTTTTATTGTACGATAAACAACTCCCTCCCGTCGTTCATTTCCTGATTATATCTCGCCTACTTTTAGATGCGGTCGTTCGGCCATTGCGTGTATCTGCGTAGCTCAGCAACGACTGAGGGGAACAGCTCACTACCCTCTCATAAATAGCATCGTTTAATAATCACGACGTATTCAAGTTGTGAGCGTATGCTCGAATGTATGGAAATGACGTTGTGATATAACAATGTTTTATCATGAAACAAAGCAAGCCTTGTTCTTCATTGGTCTTGTGATTGATCTAGTAGCTAGTTTAATTATGTGTAAAGGTAGCCAGTATTAGTGCGATATTTTAGTAGCGCTTTATTGTTTCTCCTCGTTCGTGGCAAGTATTTTTAGCTCCCTTGGGGTATGTAGCGAGTACCATGCTTTCCAGTGAGAAAGGCCTTTGTTTATCCACATTCCGTCAAGATGTATTTGGGATTTCAGGGGATTGGATAACTGTGAGTTTCTCTATATTAGAAATTCTGTAAAATGGACATGATGAACACTCAGTTTCTCCGTTCAGAGTTTTAGGAAACATTATAGTAAAACATCGTTTGAGTGGAAAGAACTTTTACCGGGAGTAAGTTGAATTTCAGTAGTGTCAGCATGTATATGAATATCGACAATCTGAACAATTGTAATGATGATTTAAGCAACCGTGCGGCTAAACCTACACAAGACTACACTGACTACAAGATTGAACTATGTTTGAAACTTTTCAAATCTGCACCAGCTGCATTGCGTCGGCAGGCGAGTAGTGTCATGAAATTAGTATCTGACAGTGTGGACATATCTGATCTGCATTCAATTCGTGATTGTTTAGAAGACTGTATGGCAATTGTGTGTAGTAAACATGGGAAACTAACGGAATTCAATTATTCTGATGAACACTTGCTTGCAAAATTTGACGAGATTGAATCAAACATTTTGAGTGAATTAAATACGTGCATGATAAACTCTGTGAACTTGAATTTGGTTTGAGTGAACGGAAATTCGCTGAAAGACTAAGTCATAAAAAATGTCGAATGTGTCAAAACAATATGAGACCAAAATTAATTGCTGCTACGGCCGAAGTTGAAGCATTAAAGACTTAATTGAAATTTCTTGAAGTTGGAAATCAAAAGAGAGCTGAGCTTGAAAGGTGTCAGATTGAAATGAAATTATTTATGGCTATGTCACAATTAGAAGCTGTAGAGAAACTAGAAAGTGAAGTGAATGAGGATTCTCTTCGTTCTCCTGCTTTATGTCCGGATGGAAAAAAACATGTTTGTACAAAATTATATTGACTCAGTTCAGGTGGAAAATCCTACACAAAGTGAAATTAAAACTCAAATCAAAAGTGACATTGTAAATATAGACATAGAATCAGTTCCGATTAGAAACGTTCAAGACTCTTAAAATTTTCCGTTCAGTCAAAACGTTCCACTCAGAGAATGAAGATTTAATCAAGGCCTTAGCAAATCAGATAAACATTTGGCGTTTACCTCCACCAGAGCCAGGAACATCCTCTGGGGACCCTCTAATGTACCCACAATGAAAAGTGGATTCAATGTCTTGAAAAGGAGGTGAGGTATTCCTGAAGGTGAAAAAATCTATTATTTGCAACGCTATCTTGACGGACAAGCCAAAGATGCTGTTGATGGATTTTTTCTTTTATCGTCAGAGGATGCATTCAGTGAGGCAACCAGATTGTTTGATGAACGTTTTGGAAACCATTTCATAATTGGAGGTGCGTTTCGTGACCGTCTAGATTCATGGCCAAAACTTCCAGCAAAGGATGGTAATGCATTACATAGACTTTCTCAGACAGTGTGAAACAGCAGTGTCAAGTGTAAGATCACTAGACATCCTAAATGATGAACGTGAAACTCGTAAGCTTATTCAGAAGCTACCTGATTGGCTCCTCAATTGTTGGTGACGTAAAGTCGCCGAATTCAGGGAACAGACATCAGAGTTTCCCAAATTCTCAAGATTTGTGACTTTCATTGATAAGGAAGCAGAAAGTATGTGTGATCCTGTCACTTCTTTTCCCTTGGAATCGAAACATGAGAACAAGCACCAAGAACACTCGTGTATCGTCACAGCATCAGACAGCTAAACTACATGGTACAGTGTTAGACACAAATCTGAAAGATTCATCTCTAAGCACTGCCACAAGTAAATTAGACAAGAAATTAAATGTGAAATTTGAAACTTGCCTTTTCCGTAAAGGTCAACACAAGCTTGATGAGTGTGAGACATTGTTGTCTAAGCCCTTGATTGAAAGAAAACAGTTCGTCATAGACTGTCAAGTGTGCTTTGGATGACTCAAGCCAGGACATCTTCCAAAGTGTTGTCAGAACAGGCTAGCATGTAAGACATTCTCACATCTTCGTGCTACTATGTTACATGGTGATCTCCCTAAACCTTCTGAGGAGACAAAGCTGAAAAGTATTAGCCATCTCAGTAATGTAAGCAATTCTTTGGATAAGTGCTCCATGATTTTACCTCTGTGGGTATCTCATTCCGATAATCCGTCAAATGAACTGTTGACATATGCATTGCTGGATACGCAATTCCGATGCGACTTTTGTGTTAAAAGACTTGTGCAACAAACTCGGTGTCACAGGAACACGAGTTAATCTGTTGCTCTCTACAATGACTTCAGCAAATGCACATGTCAGAAGCGAGAAGGTTAGAGGTCTTAAAAGTCGAGGAAATGACAATGTGTTCAGGATTACTCTCCCTGGAACATATTCAAGAGATGTGATACCAGCCAATTAGGACCATATTTCGACCCCCGACAAAGTGCAAGCATGGTCACGCTTACGACAACTGTGTGATGTATTGAAGCCAACATACGATGATGACATTGGTCTATTGATAGGCTATAATCGCCCACAAGCACTCATATCTCATGAGGTTATCGCTCCAGTTCAGGAAGGTCAACCATATGGACAACGTACCGACCTAAGATGGGGTGTTGTCGGTATCATTGATCAAACACAAATTGAGAACTCCGATTCAATTGGCAAAGCTACGTCTGCCATCTGAAGTTCATCTATCTCACAGAACATCTGTGAAGGAGCAGTTTATGCTGACGTCTATGTTGACGACGGATTGTGTTCTGTTCCTACACCCTGTGATGCAGTGACACTCATTATTGAAAGCAAGAGTGTATGTGCAATGAAAGGCCTTCATTTGCATGAGTTCATCTCCAACTCTAAGGATGTCATATCAACTACTCCGCCTGAGGATCATATAAGTGGTGTTCAGGACATTGAGATTGATTGTGATGCCTTGCCAACAGAAAGAGCTGTAGGCATACAGTGGTGTGTAGAATCGGACTGTTTTACGTTTCAGATACAACTTGACAGTCACCAGGACAAAGTTGTCACAAGACACACAATATTGCCAAGAGTTTGTTCCATCTTTGATCCAATTTGACTACCAGCCCCAGTTATTCTCTGAGGTAAAGCGATTTTTCAGGAGTTGTGTAGGGATCGGTATGATTGGGACACTCCGGTATCTGATGGTATCCTCAAGGCATGGAATGCTTGGAAAACAGACTTGATATCACTTCATGATTTGAGAATTCCAAGATGTGTGAAACCACATGACTTTGGGAATGTTGTTGCAACAGAATTGCATCACTTCTCTGATGCAGGTATGACCAGTTATGGACAGTACTCCTACATCCATTTAATGAATGAACATGAACAGGTACATTGTTCTCTGGTAATTGGTAAGGCACGGGTTGCACCAGTCAAATCCGTCACCATTCCAAGATTGGAACTAACCGCTGCACTTACATCAGTAAAAGTTGGACAATTCCTAACTCATGAATAAGATCTCGGCGAAGTGCAAAACTGACTGACAGTCGAATAGTGTTGGGCTACATCTCAAATGACTCTCGCAGATTTCATGTGTACGGAGCCAATCGTATCCAACAGATCAGGGACAAAACGTCACCTGAACAGTGGCATCATGTAAGTTCATCTGACAACCCTGCTGATTGTGCATCCAAAGGGTTAACCGTCAACAAACTGTTGACATCCAAGTGGTTAAGTGGCCCAGACTTCCTTTGTGAAAAGGAGATTCCATCACCAGACTGTGCTTCTGAATACTGGCAGCTGATGACCCTGAAGAAAAGTAAACAAAATGATTGTGAATCAGTAGCTGTTTCAGTGCAAGTCAAAAAATTGAACAAGGGGAGATGTAATCTTGAAGTTAGTTCAGGCAGAACTAATCAAACGGGAACATTCAAGAACGAGAAGGCAACTGAACGCAACAAATTTCTGAAATCAGGCAGTGCCTTATATCATCTAGATCCATTCCTGAACAGCAATTGGATCTTACGTGCCGGTGGACGGTTAAAAAAATGCTCAGATTAGTGAAGACCTTAAGCACCATGGTGTCTTGCCGAAGAAGCACCACAAATGTTATCCGCCATTGGAATGAACAAGTTCATCATCAGAGAAAAGGTCTAACACTCAATCAGATCAGATCAAGTGGATACTGGATCATAGGCTGTAGCTCAGGTGTGTCCTACTAAAATTTGAAATGTGTTTCGTGTAGGAAACTCAAGCAAGGCTCAAGTCCAGAAGATGTCAAATCTTCCCATTGATAGGACAGAAGAAGCTCCTCCATTTTCATTCAGTGCAGTAGACTGTTTCGGACCCTTTTATATAAAGGAAGGGAGAAAGGTGTTAAAGCGATTCGGTGTTCTGTTGACATGCCTGTGTTACCGAGCAATACACATAGAGACTGTTGTGTCAATGAGTACAGACTCATTTATCAACGCCCTTAGACGCTTTATGTCAGTGCGTGGTCAGATCCGTCAACTAAGATGCGATCAAGGTACTAACTTTGGGCAAAGACCGAACTGTATGGTGTTCTAACAAATCTTGATCAAAGAAAAGTGAGACAATTCCTATTGCAGAGAGATTGTAATTTCTTTGAGTTCAAGTTTAACCCACCATGTGCAAGCCATATGGGTGGTGTCTGGGAGGAGAGATTAGAACTGCAAGAAATGTCATACCTGCTTTACTTCATGACTTTGGATCACAGTTGGATGATGAATGCCTCCTTACTGTGATGTTTGAAACTGCTGCCATTGTCAACAGCAGACCCTTAACTGTTGACACTCTGTGCGATCCGTCTTCTCCAGAATCCTCTGACACTAAATAACCTTCTTACCTTGAAGTCTAAGGTAATCCTTCCACCACCTGGAACATTCATTAAGGAGGACATGTATTCCAGGAAGCGATGGCGCCGAGTTCAATACATCGCTAATGAATTCCGGAGTCGTTGGGGGAAAGAGTATCTGCAAAGTCTTCAGTTGCGGCAGAAGTGGACTGCCCGATGTCGAAATCTTTCTGTTAACGACATCGTGATAATCAAGGACGACAATATTTCTTTGGAAACTTGGACGCATCTCAGAAGTGTACCTTAGTGAAGATTGTATAGTCAGAACTGTGAAAGTAGACTGTGGTGTATCAAACTTTGTGAGACCAGTTCACAAACTTGTGCTTCACTTAGAAAAAGAGAACTAACTGTGTTCAAATGTGTGTAAATTCATTTGCAGTATTGTGTTCCTAACTGTGCTAAATTCATTTTCAGGTTCACATAACTTTGTGAATGATGATTCCGAATCCGATCCGAACTATAAATATTGTCACAATGATGTGTATTTTCATGTTTTATATTTTGTATGATTATATGTTTTGCAAGAAAGCATTAACCTTTGTTCATTGTCAGGGTGTGACACTTGCCTATAGTTTGTTAGCTTAATATTTCAAGTTAGCAATACTGTATTGTTAGCCAAACCATTGTGTTTATATTTATACCACTTCAGCATTTTTCATTGTTTAATGTAAATTAGGTTAATACTAACTTTGGGTGGGGAGTGTAACGGTAGTCAGTATCAGTGTGATATTTCAGTAGCGCTTTATTGTTTCTCCTCGTTAGTCGCAAGTACCCTTGGGTTATGTGGCGAGTACCATGCTTTCCGGTGAGAAAGGCCTTTGTTTATCCACAATCCGTTAGATATTTTTACGGATTTCAGGGAATTGGATAACTGTGGGATTCTCTATATTCGAAATTCTGTATAATAAACATCATGAATACTCAGTTTCTCCGTTCAGAGTTTTAGAAAACATTATTTTATGCTATAATACAGAAACATAACACCCTGCTCTCAAACGTCTGCAGATTAGAAGAAACATGGTTCATGAATGAGTTTTGTTTGTTTGTTCATTAACGCCGCACTCAGCAATATTCCAGCTATATGACGGAGGTCTGTAAATAATTGAGTCTAGACAAGACATTCCAGTGATTGACATCACCAGCATCGATCCAAGCAATTGGGATACGATGACATGCATCAACCAAGTCAGCGAGCCTGGCCGGCCGATCCCGTTAGTCGCCTCTTACGACAAGCATAGGTTGCGTGATTATCCAACTCCCTCGTAGCGCCAGTCTACAATCACGTGATCAACAAATTGGTTGCGAAAGTTAGACCGGAAGTAGTCCCCCGCTAGACCAAGGATGTTTTTGTGTGACATTTCCAAAGACGTTGCTGACATATTTGGCAATCTTTTAGGAAAATAAAATCGCCTTTTTCACAAATATTGGATCTCAGTTTGTGTAAACAATAAGTTCGTTGATGTTACAAATTTACTGTTGAGCAGAACTTTGATTCTTGGTCAGTTTTCGTTTCATGTGCTCAGTGTTTTTGACAAGATCTCTGGTGTTCTCGTATTTAACAAATAAAGGACGAGTGAGAGTTGGTTATGGTACAATAAAAGACTGCATGGATAATAAACCACGAGGGACGCACCAGGAGTCGTCTCATGTTGCAACCCCCTTTTGTTTGGAAAAGATCAAACAGTCATGCTGATCGGAGAACAATAGCAGACAGCAGTGGTCGTCTTAAATTTGTATTAGCTTAACATTTCCACAAAACGGTATTCCTCAGAACTATCAAATCATATATAACTACTATCATATATAGTGGATGATGTCATTTAATAATGTCAATATTTGTTTTTGTTGCAATTGATACTTAAGACTTGGATATTCAGGCTACGGCCACGACGACTGTTGGGAAAAAACTCGACATTCCACAAGTGCATTTGTTTCTTACTTACTTTGGAGATATAACGTGCGCTTTCCGACTGATGCGTATTTCGCACACGGGCCCGGTCAGGCCATTTAATGTGTTTCCGAAAGGGGCGAAGGTGGTCTGTGCAACCCAAGAGGGGGGTTTAGGGGTTGCTTATATAGAATTTGGGAATTTTGAGATTTGGAATAGATGCCGATGGGATTGGGGAGGAGAACTAAGGGAGCTGGGTATGGTGGATGTTTGTTTGTTTATGTGTTGGGAATAAACTCGACATTCCACAAGTGCATTTGTCCTTTAGTAATGACTTTATTTGGAATTACCACTATGTATATACTATCTCACTGACTACTTGTTAACTGGTCACTGCAGGTGTCTTAATTATTACATACTTACATATCATTCAAATGGGATTACTCACATGTAAGTTGTTACAGACTTTGATATGGTGAACACAAATCACTTGCTCATACATAAACATTTACTTGAATTGACGCACTAACTACTTTGAGCGCTTTTGGTATGTCCCCTTTGCTTGTATAAACACAGTAACTGTAAATCCCCAACAATGTGGTGGGGAAGTGATGATAAACCACTCAAACATTGCCTTCATTGGTGTTACACCTCATCTAGCGACATTACATTATTTTAAGAAGGTCATTACATGATAAAGACCCCCCTCGATTATCCAGAGTTGTATCTCCATTCTGTTATGATCAGCTCCATCTTTTCTTTCACCCACTTCTCTCGCTTAACAGCCAATGAAAATGACTATTCTAGACGCATGGTGGACATGGCTCGGCATCACTCGAGCAAGCCCTCGATGTATTTAAACGAATCACAAGACACATTATGTTTTAGCTGTGAAAGATTTTTTCGACGTTCAAAAGTCGAGACGAGTTCTGGTGATATCGCGTGATGTTATCGCAACATGTATATGACATCAAAAAGTGGCTGCATGAAGAATGGCGTCATACATCTTATACACAGATGAACAAGCCGATTAAATTCGCAATGTTGTACAAATTACAGTACCATCTGGCGTTCTTAATTGTCAAGTTGTGCTTTAGACTTTGGTGTCCTTTCGTGTGCACTGACGTTCTTTAATTACTACATATTGTTCTTCATGTGGCGTCTTTTTGTTTTGTATTTTGACCTTTATTAGTTACATTTAATACTCTATTCGTATCATTTGAATGTTATTTCATACTTTTGACCTTTATTTCATCTGATCTATTTTTTTGACCGAATGGCCATGTACATCTAACCATCTGAGAACACTAAGACTATTTTAACCTAAGTACAGACAAACAATGGTCGTAGCAGTGCGATCTCTTTGCACAATGAGATCCTGTGGCTCAACAAGAACAAACACATAACACAAGCAGCAGAAATAAATTTATTTGAAGGAAACAAAGTTAAAAAAAGAAGATAATAAGTTGATATATTATGCTTGGCATATAAAGTGAATAATAAACGCTGGCCACATAAGTTTTGCTTTGTATTTAGTGGAATTAATTTTGAACTACATTAAAAGTATTCATTTCAAGGATGACACACATGGTTTTAACACACACTTTAAACCTTTTGTAGTTCTATGTTAACATGATGTATTTAACTCTTTCAGATACAGATCATGAATTACCCTACTTTTAGGTTTATTACAGGTGTTAGTCTTTTCAGTTTACATCATGCACGACGACAACTACATGTAATTAAAGATTGGTTAATTAAAAAACCCACAAATGTATGTCTGATCTCCTTACAGCAAACACACAGCCTTCGTTCCTATATCATCCATCAATGACATCCCATTATCTGCTGCTCTTAATGCAAGCACTTTCACTGATAATAATCCACATTTAAAACAGCTATTGATACAATGTATAGATGCTATGTTATGTAACCGCAACAAGAACCATCTACATTGTTAACGAAAATAACACATTTGAAAATAAAAGGAACAAATGAAAGTTCAGGTATTAAATGAACTCTATGTCGACATGAATTAAGTGTCTTAAAAAGATCATATTCTGGTTCCAGCTGGGTTTATGTTCCATGGCGTCTCGACCATGATGAGACAGGATTGACCGCTGTGCCTCTACACCGCCTCCTCACCCGGTGTATTACCGACAGACCTTGGAACACTTGGGGAGTCAAAACGAGTATTTACATGTCCAAGGTTTGAAAGTCTTTGTTGGTGTTGGTTTGTCTGGAAACAAAGTAATTTATAACCATTATACGACAAATATCATGACGTTTTTATTCTTACCCATTTCGCGAACATCTGGTGTCATCACTGATTTTTTCATAATACAATAAATAGACCGTATGATAACTGTACTTCCCCTTTTACAATGAGATTGCATGATTATTTAACTAGATACTTCCTCATCAATCAGGGGCGGTCGGGTAGCCTAGTGGTTAAAGCGTTAGCCCGTCACGCCGAAGACCCGGGTTCGATTCCCGACACGGTCACAATGTGTGAAGCCCATTTCTGGTGTCCCCCTCGTGAAATTGCTTGAATATTGCTAAAAGCGGCCTTTAAACCATACTCACTCACTCCTCATCAACTGGCACAGACATGCTTGGTAGCGTGTATAATTGTGTTTTACACCTTAATTTCTGATTCTGCGCGTACAATGCAATACACTGAAAATTATCAGGGTCATCAAACACCCACTGTTTTACTTTTAGGATAACGGGGATGGGGGTAACTAATTGTCATGGATCTTAGTGTGACATTTATAAGAATTCCACAACAAAACGTTGAGAAGAATATGTAATCCTACTTGATCAGCTGTGTTGAAATATCAACATTTTGAAGACTTAGTACGGGTGTATGTCTACCAGTAGTAATATGTATATTGCTGGTAAACTTACGTCAGTGAAACCTTCATTGTTACAAACCGTTCGGGCCCCTCCTCGTTCTCGCTTGTGTCTGGCGAGTTGGTTGCACGGTGACTGCATACACCTAAATGAAGATTTGAACCGTGGCTCAATTAGAATATAGTTTCCTGGCCAGAAGTCATCTGTGAGTAGTGATTGTGTAATTTGCTTCCATCCCCTGGACGAGCCAAACTAAAATATGTTAAAAGATGGTACTCGTTGTTACCCTTTAAGCGCTCAGCTTTAAGGGAATAATACAAGGACTGACAGGCCTGAAGTCAGTGTTATGTGTCTGAGTGGGGTATCCATGCTACACTGCAGCATATCCGAAGGTTAGCACAATAAAACCGGCATACATTTAAGTCCACACTAGTACAAGCTGCCAAGACACACGTGCATGCACGTCACTATATAAGTCAATAATCTTGAACGCAATGTTCAACCTCATCTCACCCTTATAAACGAGAGATGAGGGAGATTCATGGCCTTTTAGGACCTGGTTTATCCATTTGCAAGTGCCGATGAGTTACCTATTAGGAAACACCGAGTTCTTGCCAGACCCCTGAAGATCCGGGGTAGAATAAGTCTTCAGCAACCTATGCTTGTCGTAAGAGGCGACCAACGGGATCGTGTTCGCTGACTTTTTTGATACATGTCATCGATCCCAATTGCGTGGACCGATGCGCATGATATCAATCACTGGATTGTCTGGTCCAGATTCGATTATTTACAGATCGCCGTCATATAGCTGGAATATTGCAAAGGGTGGCGTTAAACAACAAACAAACAAAAAGTGACAAACTATGGACATTGGTGAATGCACAGACGTGTATTATAAGGCCTGCAACTAATTGCTGCTGTCCTATATTTGACTGTGTATATATGTACTGCCTTTTGTGATTGTAAATCAATAACTATGTATTTTAATATGAGTTGTTAATTATTGGCTTTGTGAGGATAGTTACTGATTTCACAATTTAGTTCTGTTCGAACTGAAGAATGGGTCATTTCTTCTTTTCTATTTGCAGATCACCATGTAACAACATTACAATAGAGAGTATTTTTATCATGGATACTCATTTTTGTTGTATATTTCATTTAATCATTTATCTATTATAACTTTATATGAATGCGTTTTTTTATGTATTTAATGTATGTTTCGCATGGTGACAGCAGTGAGACTGTTCAAAATATCCGCCTGTCTAAATCTGCGCAGTACCTACCCTCGTTTGAGCATGCAGAGATACCAAGCTAAGATGGACAAGATGATTATCAATATCCCCGCCAACACAACCAGACCGATCATCCATGCCTGCAACCCATCACAGTTGGGATTATCTTTTGCACATGCGCAGTAGTATCGGTTGACGTCGTTGTAGCAGACGTACGGCGAGGAACATGGAGAGCTGCTGCACTCGTTGACGTCATCCTCGCAATGAATGCCGGTCCAGCCAGGTGCGCACGCACACTCATAGTCGAGGTCAAAACCTTCATCATGGCGGTAGTTGGTGCAGTTGTACACTCTCTCATTAGTGCCTGCAATTGCATATTTAGGATTCAGCGAGTACGTTAAGAATTTATTCAGAATTTCTTTTCGTATATCGTGTATAGCGTTGCTATTTATCTGCACAATGATTTAAAAATAATTCTACTCTTTTATGTGACGTTAACTGTGACAAACTCTCATCGTCAAAAGAAGGTTACCACACATATTAATGGCAATCAGTGATATTTCACCACACGACAAGAAATGATAATGAAAGACATCAAGAGAAGACATTTATTAAATATATCAATACATACTTGTACAGGTTCCCCCATTCTTGCATGGTGTCTCCATAACACCTGGCTTAATCGTGGTGACGTCATCCTCATCCTCGCAATGGATGCCGGTCCAGCCAGGTGCGCACGCACACTCATAGTAGAGGTCAAAACCTTCAGCACGGCTGTAGTTGGTACAGTTGTACAAGTTTTCATTTTTGCCTGGAATTGCGTATATATTACAGCGAAAGAGTCCGGACTTATAGCCAACACAACCAAAACACCACATTTATATTTTTAATATTCATGTCGACTTGGAATTGACATATAAGAAGCTCCACACATGCATCTATAACACTCTTCAAATCCTTCCATTGTTTAATGTCTTCTCAGGACATTTGTACCAACAGATAAAACACATTTACATTGAAGGCCGTGCCTTAACCCTTGTCTATCTCAGGAGAAATAACAAACTGAACAAACTGAATCAAATACATCTTTAACATTGAATAATGCATAACAGCTTCAAAACTTTAACAAGTTTCATTGGGATTATTATTGATCACGCTTTTTGCATATTTTGCAGATTTTTTCTATTTTAAAAATAATGTTCCAGCTGTATACTGTGACTGTTATTACAGAATACACATGTGTACATTATTTTTATTGCTGACATAGTGTCGATGCCGAATATAACTCTGCACTCACTCGCTCCTGATCACACTGAACTCACTCACTCACTCTGAAAATTACCGTACAAAGAGATCTTAAACACAGTGACATTTCTTAACCTCACAACAATGTGATACCACAAGACATGTCTACAAGGAATAAAGTAAATATATTAATACATGTACTTACTTTTACAGGTTCCACCATTCTGACATGGTGTCTCCACAACGTCTGGCTTTACTGTGGTGACGTCATCCTTATCCTCGCAATGAATGCCGGTCCAGCCAGGTGCGCACGCACACTCATAGTGGAGGTCAAAACCTTCAGCACGGCGGTAGTTGGTGCAGTTGTACAAGCTTTCATTCTTGCCTGGAATTGCGTATTTAGGATACAGAGAATGAGTTAACCTTTTAACAGTGAAATTCATTTCAGCGGTTAATCGAGACTTTTTTATATTTAAGAATATAAAATTTCTTGTCATTGTTGTGTGACGAAACTATCACTGATGCGACGTTCATTATGATTCACTCACATTTTCATAGTGCAAGTTAGGGGGATAGATCTCAAACACAGTGACATGTTACCGCTCGGAAGGATGTAGCAATGTGAACCATCTCGACAGGGCATTAAGTTTGTTTGTTTGTTGTTTAAAGCCGCACTATATGACGTTGGTCTGTAAATGATATAGTCTGGACCAGACAATCCAATGATTGATATCATGAGCATCGATCCACGTAATTGAGATACGATGACATGCATCAATCAAGTCAGTGAGTCTGACCACCCGATCTCATCAGTTGTCTTTTACGGCAAGCATGAGTTACTGAAGATCTATTCTAATCCGGATATTCACTGGTACAAGGGATGTAGTAAATACAACAATACTTACTTCTACATTTTCCCCTATTCCTGCATGGTGTCTTCATAACACCTGGTTTTATCGTGATGACATCCGAGTATACCCCTCCCTGGTCCTGCACATAAACCCGGACCTCATCGTTACCATGGTAACCAGGGTCAGGTTGGTACATGAAGGTCCTGTAGACCCAGTTGAGGGAGTCGGCAGGGTTGGGGAGCAGGAGCTTGTCACAGGGGATGCCGCTCTGAAATGATATGTTTCTATATACCCCCAAATGTTTTGTACATCCCCAAGATACATTGAATTCGTGGACTTTCAGCTAGATTTGAGAAAACAGTTCGGAAAACTATATTTTCCGCTTAGCCACCGAGGTTTCCAAAAAATCTTCCAAAAAAGTTAATTTTTTTGTCGAAGGCTCTGTGGCTGGTTAGATCGCTGACTTTGTATGCTGGTCATTACGTGCCTCGCTCTGGCAGTGTGGGTTCGAATCCCGGACGGGACTCAGTCCAAAAAAGCACGAGAATCTGTACTTTACTGAGAAAGTGTTATCCCAAATATAACATTTGTTACATTTGACCACTTTCTAAATCGCATTGTGTATTCATAACGTTCCAAAGAAATTCCTACTTTTTCTAAAGTTTTACAATTTGTAATTTTTAATGGGGGTAGATATGAACAAAGTAAATACAAGTACTACATACATCTGTTTATAATTAATAAAACCGTGAGGAGGTATTCTTCAAATCATGGTTTGTGATGGGTGCCACCGGTGGGGCAGGACACGCTCACCTTTACGCGAACACCTTGTATCATCACTATTTGATAGTGATTCATAAACACATGCTCCTGATATATTCGGAATTGTACAATTGACTCTGCTTTATGCAGAGATTTCTATTGGATATGGAAAAGGTATGTCGCTATAATTATATTGGACGTCTGTGGCACATCGTTAGACTAACTGAAGAGAGGGGTGCATGATTATGATTATGTTAATGAACAGGTATAGACATACATTAAAAAGAGTTAGTGTTCATTACAAGCTTAAACTGAAATGGAAATGTAGTGTTTTTAACGTTTGTATCTTGTGTACCTGAATACTATCAAGTCATTGAAGCTGTAGAAACCTATAGTTTTCAATATTAATCATTTAATAACATTTAATGATATTATTACTTATTAACATCCATGTAAAGTTAAAGCTGATACATAAATTGCCCATCAAAATGTGTTCCATATCTCCATCAGGCAAGGCTTTAAAAGAATTCGAGAAATCATTTGGGAAAAAAGTGATTCGCAACTATGCATTTTATACGAACGCATGTTCTGGAAACACCATGTGCTGTTCCGTATATATGTACATACATTATATGAACACGGGACAGTGGTGTTCACGTCACCGACGGTAAGGTTCCCGCTGCTCGGCTGTGTGTAGAAGATGGTCAAGCTGTCGCCGACGTCAACGTCGTATGCCCCAAACTTCCATCTGTATGTTGTGGTGTCGCTGTCATTTGAATTAAAATTTTCGGGAAGAATCTGAAAAGTGCAAGATTTACTTGTTCAAGAATAATGCAAAAGTATTAACTTGGAATCTTATATAATCTCCATAAAGATGTAACTACTATTAACTAGGAAGTGTGCTGTGTAAGAACAAGTGTTCAGGCACCATATCACTGGGGGCCTACCACAACTGGAAGCGTTGGATCTGCGTGAAGGATGTTGACCTCATCACTGAAGACAAAGGCACTCGGTGCGTCGTTGACGGAGTTGATGCTGATGGTGATGCTGACGGCAGTTTGAGCCGGGGGTATCTCGGCTTGAGGAACTTCGTACATTACCACTTGGACGTCTACATTTCCATAGAAGTTAGCTGCAGGGGTATAGGTCATTCTGCAATTATAATAGAAAACTGCACTTTATGTTTGACAAAATATTTGACGAAGGAATAGGGCTTTTCAGAAGACCACTTTATAAGGGCTTACACATTTCAGTAAAATTATGGCGTGTCAGCTAAGTGTGGGGAAAAGGTACATGAGACGAGTCTTATAACTGAACTATTTATGTGAGATAGATGAGTACGGTTATGGGGCTACAAACCAAGGATCGTTAACATAGTGAATCGGTGGAATCGGGAATTCGGCAGCGGATCCTGGTGGCTAAGGGACGCAACTGTTTCATGCAAAACAGGAGCTTTATGTTGTAAACGATTCTTGTTTTTCTGTCCATGAGCACAAAACGGATATGTAATTGTCCATTACAATTTCGAAACATTATTTCCACAAAATATACGTTTTATGTTACCTTTAGGACTTATTACATGAAGCCTAATGCAATCGTTTGGCTTATGATGTCTTCCCTGCTGAGTATACCAATCCAGCATCGCAACACTCTAGGATATGAAGTACACTTTCCGTTGGGTTTATTGTGACCTGATAATTATAACTACAGTGAGTCAACGTACAATCCATCCTCCGACAGCCTCAGTTCCAGATCAGCCACAGCGGAGTCGTCACTCATCTTGTACTTGACCACGTCTCCATTAGCGTCTGTGGACGTCATCTGGTATATCAATGTGCCTGTCACAGAATAAGACGAATAATTCATTAGATATCATATACGAATACACAATTCACAAAAAAATTAAAAGCAAACTAATGGATATGCACCATGAGAAACTACAATATATATACCCTGGTCTTCCTGCATGACAAGAGAGACAAGCTAAGAGACACACACCCTGGTCTTTCTGCTTGACAAAAGAGATTAGCTAAGAGACACATACCCTGGTCTTCCTGTATGACAAGAGAGACAAGCTAAGAGGCACATACAATGGTCTTCCTGTATGACAAGAGAGACAAGCTAAGAGACACATGCCCTGGTCTTCCTGTATGACAAGAGAGACAAGCTAAGAGACACATACAATGGTCTTCCTGTATGACAGGAGAGACAAGCTAAGAGACACATACCCTGGTCTTCCTGTATGACAAGAGAGACAAGCTAAGAGACACATGCCCTGGTCTTCCTGTATGACAAGAGAGACAAGCTAAGAGACACATACAATGGTCTTCCTGTATGACAGGAGAGACAAGCTAAGAGACACATACCCTGGTCTTCCTGCATGACAAGAGAGACAAGCTAAGAGACACACACCCTGGTCTTCCTGCATGACAAGAGAGAGTAGCTAAGAACACATACCCTGGTCTTTCTGCATGACAAGAGAGACAAACTTAATTACACATACCCTGGTCTTCCTGCATGACAAGAGAGACAAGCTAAGAGACACATACCCTGATCTTCTTGCATGACAAGAGACGTGATGCTGGTGAGCTGAGGAGGTGAATTTGGTATCTCTGTCAGAGCTGAAGTCAGTAGGAACTGGGTCGGGTGTCTGAAGTACGTGTCAGACACAGATCGCCGACGTCTGGAGCTGCTGCTGCCTGTCGTGAATCTGGTGTTACAAACCTGGCAACAACAAAGGAAGCATGTTGGGCATTCTTCACAGATCAATTGTTGGTTTAGTTTAATATCTACCGGAGACTGAAAGAAAGGGCTTCATTTGTCAAGGGCATACGCTTTAACCATCAAACGTCTATTCCCAGATCAATCGCTATAGACCATGTATTATATTGTACCGCTGAATGTGCTAAATAAAACATATAGCGAAAATACAATAAAATATGAGAAAACACTGATAAGACGAATCAATGACCATGTATTTTCTCCTTGACAAATAAGAGTGCATGAGTGAGTTGAGTTTAACGCCACTTTTAACAGTATTCCAGCTATATCGCGGCGTGTCAGCTTAATGTGTGGGAAAGCCCGAGGTGATGCAGGTCTTAGACGTTTACCACTTTGGTGAAACCCACGAGCACGGGTATGGTGCTGACAAACCTAGAAACATAATCAGGGCGAACCGGGATTCGAACCCACAATGAAAGATTTCTGGCATGCCCAAGGATGCAACTCAGCACAGCGAATCGCGGCGCTTTAGACGACTGGGCCACCCGTGTCCCCCTTGACAAATAAGAAAACAAGAAAGTAATATGATAGTTTTAAGCCAATCATAAACTATAACACTACTTTCACTTGAATATCTATACGATTGTGAAGTATTGAGAACCCTCTTCACAACCGGTACCAATTAATGACATCAGAGAAGATTCCAACATCATTGATTACTCGTCATAGATGTACACATCTGTTGTACTATTAATGTTAAACACTCACTTTGACCGTGACCTGAGAGGTCATGGGGTCTCTGACCTCCGTGTCTGTTTCATGGAGACAGGTCTTGTTGCTCTGTTGCCACTGTCGGCCATCTGCATCATACAAAACATCACTGACCAAAAAATTCTTCTTCTGTATTAAGGCTGTATATATTGTTGTATCATCATGTAAAGATTCTTCATAGAATATTATGTTTAGGTTGGGCCGACTGCCCGATACACTTATTCATTTATATATACATTTATACATTATCCTTGAATGTTGTTTAAAATCCGCAGAACATAATATTGCAGCTCAGGGATAAGGGATAAGGGATGACCATGCCATCGGCACGGTGTCACACTTAGTCACACATTTTGACCAAGTCATTCAAAGTCTACTTTATGTCTCTTCAATGTGATTTGTATGATGAATATCGATCTGTTACCATAATTACTCGAAGACAAAATCTCTTGTCACAAATTACATCTTCATCAAGAACGAAAATGGTCACATATGATAAAGCCCCCCTTCAATATGGGAATAAAAACTATAAAACCCTACAATAATCATAAAAATAAAAGCGGCAAAACCCTTTCTATAATCCAAAGAAATATCCATTGTATGCTTTCGACTATGTCATTAGGGTGTGCCTGTGAATCCTTATCAAATACTGATAATACCAGGTGTATCCTGCTGAACAGGTGGCACCCATCACAAACACAAGCAAAGGCAAGTCAATTGTTTACTTGAAAAGTATGGCCAGATTTGTGCATTAGGATACAAAAACAGTACCTATGGACTAATTCCTATGCCAGGAAGTACATGCATTGACAGGTATTACCAGTATTCCAATGAAGCAGCATCAAGGTTGTATTGGTGACCGTGGGGTCATAGGTGAAGGTCACCTTCACCGGTCCTGGTAGGGGAAGATTACCAACACTAGTGAGAGAGAAGGAGAGGTCAGTGTCCTGGTAGTTGAGCCTCTTTCTGAGAATTCTGTCGGTGAAGGCATCTTCTGTGGTTGATGTAGACGGGTCAGTGATGTAGGGGATGAACTCCACTGAGGCGTCAGACTTGTATTCCGTCTGTAGATCAAGCTTCGTGAGCTGAGTAACCACAATGCTCTGACCGGCTTGTAACCCTGGATCAGATATATACGCAAACGAATAATGTTATCATCGTTTAACATGTCAGCGATGCCCCGTTTGGGGCATATTTTATCTCGTATTAAAGTAGGTAACAATAATGTGCGAGTGAGTGAATAAGTGAGTTAATTTGTTTAGCTGAATGACCTGCTTTTAGCAATATTCCAATAATATCAGGACGTTCACACATTGTACCAATGTAGGGAATCGAACCCAGGCCATCGGCGTGATGAGCGAATACCTTAACCACTAGGCTACCCCACCCGAAAAATATAAAAGGTTCACTGAAAATATTGACATTTACCGTAGGTAACAATGAAACAGTGACACAGCTATTGCAATTACTTACCATCTGGTGTTGATACCGTTACTCCTGAAACGTCCCTCTTCCTCCTCCCACCATCCCCAACATCTACAGTGACGGCAGAACCATCAGACGACGTCGCCATCGTGGACATGTCTGTCTCTACTACGGTGGAGCCCAGCAACTTGGTCGTGCACAGCTGGGCCTCATTACACATCTTCATGAAGATGAACATCTCTGTGCCTGGAGCCATGGTGAAGGCTGACTTGTCCGTGGTGTTGACAGATACGTTGTAGTCTGGCTTGAACTGGCTCAATGTGTAGATAGCAACGCCGTTTACTTTGAGGTATCCATCCGTTACTGTGACCGTCCCCGACGTGTTGTAGCCGACCCACGTGCAGGGGAAGATGTCACTGATGCTGGCCTCGGAACTCCCCACACAGAAATCTAGTAAGACCATACGAAAGAATCATTCACCTGTTTTGTGCTATCTCATTATATCAACGGTGGTCACAATCATCTCAAATAACACATTATTAGACAAGTAATGTGACCGAACTTCCATCGAGTTGAGGCTATAGGAACCTACCGTTTGACTGTCATTCTAGAAGTAGGCCTTAACAGTAAACACGCAAATATCCTATGGGTTAGTTACTATATAATAATGCCACCTGCAGTTGGCTATGAAGGCACATCATGATTTGATCAGTAATTACCATATCTCCGGATGCTCTCATCATCAGATACGGTCCAGGAAGCACCTACAGTGTTCTGGTCTGTGGTTGTCATGGAGTTAGGTGGCGTCACTGTCTCCCCAAGCGGGTCAGCTCCCTCTATCGTTGTGTTGACGTCGTCAACCAAAGGAGGTTTAAGCAGGACTGTCACACCTGGTGATAGACGGATATTCGCGACTCGTTTCAAAACTATATTCATTTGTCTTCGAACAATGTTTTTTCAAGGAAAATGTATTTGGCAATCAACAATGTAATCACACATAACACTGACAGTAAATGCTCCTAACCCAACGGTTGTGGATCTTAATGACTCTTCCAATTGCAGTAATTTAAAATTATGAAAGCGAGATTAAGGGAAAGGTTTGAGATTTATAACGTTTTACGTCTATAACATATAACCCTATGTTCCTCTAGGATCAGCATAGGTTGTGACTACCTACTATTGTATTGATAAGGGGATGTTCAAGAAGAACGATCATTTAACTTTAAAGTCACACCTTTTACTGTAATGTCCCACATTTACCTGTATTTAATAATATCACATACTGCGGCATCAGATTCTTCGTTAATTTTACCAGAATATAAAAGAGGCAAATCTGACAATATTTTACAAATTGCACACCTCCAGAGAAACAGTATTACCTGTTTGATGTATTAAGGTACGCACCTCTGGAACAAGAGTAACTCTCTAGTGTTTGATGTATTAAGGTACGCACCTCTAGGATCAGCATATGTTGTGACCAGCCCACCCCCGTTGGTACACCTGACGGTCACATAGTATGTCGTGTTGTGTTCCAGGAGGCCCACAAGTCCGGAGTTAGTTGATGTCGGGTTTTCTCCCGCTGAGACAAATGTCTGCAACTCCTGTCCCCCTGGCGTCCTGCCTATTGCCCAGTCGTAGTTCTGAAGAATATTGAATATACGTGTTAACGTCACAGCAAGATCAACAAAATCAGTTTTTGTGTACCTAATCCTACCAACTACACATTCAATTGTTCAAAGTGTTCTGGCCTCTCTGAGAATGCGGTGCAAATTTGTTAGAACGTTGCCTCGTCACTTCGAAGATCCCTGTTCCATTCCTTACAGGGGTTCAATGTCTGAAGCCCATTTCTGGTGTCTTCCCACCTAGATGTGGATGGACTATTGCTACCGGAGGTAGGAACCCCGGCTCTTAGTAATGGCCCTCAAACAATTATAGATGTTCCCAGCAGAGCCATCCCTAAGATGGGGATACTGGAACATGATGACCGGATCGATAAACGAGGTTTTACTGTATATATACATGCATGGAAAGTCATGCTTTCTTGAATGTGGGACAGACACATGGCAGTCATGTTAACTCTCTTTGATAGAAACACTTTCCATCATGTCTGTATAGTCTTAACGTGTTTACGTATGTTTATGTATTTGCTTCAAAGAAGGTAGACAAGTATCTCAAATATTTCAACACAAACTTACCACAATTTCACTCTCGTTGTCATTGCACTTCCATATAGCCTTGATGGTGTCGTTTGATCCTTGGTACGTCACAGGGGTGAAGTTGCCCTGAGCGACGTCGATGTAGAGCATGACGTCGGTGTCAAACAGTGGTGGTGACGCGTCGATGTTGAAGCCGTCAGATGACGAAATGGCCTCCGTTCCAGATCCAAGGACAGCTTTCACTGAAATATTCCGATTGAAAGGTAATACAGGTAACACACATACGGACGCACGCACGCACACACACCACACAGCACGCATGCACGCACACACATACGCACACCACACAACACGCACGCACATACACACACACGACAAAAGTTTATCTTTTACAGAGTTTACGCAGAAAGTGTACAAAAGAAAAGAGATAGAGTTCTTTGTGTAGCGTTGACATGTATATAGATCTAAATATACTTCAATTGCAATTTCATAAGAGATTTTCCAACTATATTTGCCAGAAGCATGTAAACAAATGTAATTCTTTCTCACGTTTCAACAATTCCGTTGGCTGTTTCCGGTCTTAATATACCCTTTGATCTACTGTACAACTCACCTGTCAGGTAGTACAACACGGACTTCTTCTACCCCCACAACTGTTGTTCTCTCACCTGTGAAGTAGTACAACACAGGGACTACTTCTCCCTATACAACTGTTGTTCTCTCACCTGTGAGGTAGTACAATACAGGGAGTACTTCTCCCTCCATAACTGTTGTTCTCTCACCTGTGAAGTAGTACAATACAGGGACTACTTCTCCCTATACAACTGTCGTTCTCTCACCTGTGAGGTAGTACAATACAGGGACTACTTCTCCCTCTACAACTGTTGTTCTCTCACCTGTGAGGTAGTACAATACAGGGACTACTTCTCCCTCTACAACTGTTGTTCTCTCACCTGTGAGGTAGTACAATACAGGGACTACTTCTCCCTCCACGACTGTTGTTCTCTCACCTGTGAGGTAGTACAATACAGGGACTACTTCTCCCTCCACAACTGTTGTTCTCTCACCTGTGAGGTAGTACAATACAGGGACTACTTCTCCCTCCACGACTGTTGTTCTCTCACCTGTGAGGTAGAACAATACAGGGACTACTTCTCCCTCCACGACTGTTGATTCTGTAAGGTTGAGGTCGTTGAGGGTGATCTTGACCTGGTCTGTTGATGAGCTGTCACAAGCTGGGTCACATGTGTACATGTCACAGGGGGTCAGACACGGAATACATGGATTATGTACCTAGCAACACACAGAACATGTCAGAGTAAGATAACGTAACGTAACAGGGTGTCAAGAAGGGAATACACGGAGTATGTACCTAGCAACACACAGAACATGTTAGAGTAAGATGACGTAACGTCACATGGTGTCAAGAAGGGAATACACGGAGTATGCACCTAGCAACACACAGAACATGTTAGAGTAAGATGACGTAACGTCACATGGTGTCAAGAAGGGAATACACGGAGTATGCACCTAGCAACACACAGAGCATGTGAGAGTAAGATGACGTAACGTCACATGGCGTCAGACAGGGGATACACGGAGTATGTACCTAGGAACACACAGAACATGTTTGAGTAAGATGACGTAACGTAACAGGGTGTCAGGCTGTGAATACTGGGAATAAGTATGCCTCAAGTATATCATTGACACCTGGGATTGCTATTGAACTTGTAAAGCATTGATGATAGTGATGGGGGTAGTTATCTAAAAATCGCCTCAACTCGCTCAGCAGAATTGTCTGCCTGATGTATGCCAGAAATGTATGATCGTGGGTTCACAGTTCGCCATGATTATTTTGGGGGGATTGTCAGCACCAAACCAGTGCTCGTGGGTTTCGCCAAATTGGTTCTATATCAAACAGGTCGTGATATAACCAAAATACTGTAGTCGAAAGCAATTGGAAGTCACCTATTTACGACAAACAAATGCTCGTCTGTGAGACACTAAGACACCCCCTTACCTGTTGGTACGGCACTACATCAGAGAGACCGGAAGCTGACCCGATCCCTGCCTCATACCGAACAATGGCGTTATCACCTCCTTGAAAAGCGTTTCCATAGCGACACAAATTCTCCTTGTCAGCTGGCATCACCAGGTCTCGGAATGAAGCTGTAGAACTCCAAACCTTCAGATGTCCTTCCGAATCACGATCAGTTTCAGGAATATAGTTCTTATGGTTCCAGACTCCGAAGAAGAGTTTGGTGTCAGGAGAGAGACGCGGTATTCCACACTGCTCCGTCAGCAGATCCCCGTCCATGGAGATGAACATGCACCACGTTATCTGAAGTATTTAACATAAAAGGGTGATTTGTATGTTGTTTCACGTGTAGCTAACACTTTTGCTTTCGAAACTTATTCTAGTATGATTAAATGACTGTATATAAGGTATAGATAAAAAATAGGAGTATATGATACACTGTTGATTCCCTTCCCATGTTAAGCCTGGCAGCTGACATACACCCATGTTGTGTTTAAATTGTGTCTACTTTTGTCCTTGGTAGCGATACATAATTATCAGGTCTTGAGGTAGAAACTGGCTGGCTGGTGCGTGGATCTGAATTCTGCACATTTTAAGTCTGTGTGAATTCTGTCTTACTGCACATCGGAGTATTAGTACAGAAATTTCCAGTCTTTATTTAAAATGGTAGTTTAAACCTTCTCTCGCCATGCCAAAAAACCCAAGAACTTTGTAAATTAAATCATCATCATCATCATCATCATCATCATCATCATCATCATCATCATCAACTCGGCACATTAAATCATCATCATGAGCAGCAGCAGCATCATCATCATCAGCATGATCAACTTTGTAAATTAAATCATCATGATCACCCGTTACCTCTGACCCCCTAGCTTCATCTCTTTGGGTAGTGAATCTGATCCAGTACTGATGATAGTCTATGGAAGGGTCTTGTTCCAGGTTCCTCACAACTGCCATAGGTTCATTCAAGGTGTCACCATACCCACACCATGCCACCAGCTTGGCTTCTTCTCCTGCAAAACGTATACAGTTTCTGCTGGTTCATACCAAGTCCTGGGTGCTAACGTTTGTTTGTTTGTTGTTCAATGCCGCACTCAGCAATAGCCCAGCTACGTGACAGTGGTCTGTAATTGATCGAGTATGTACCAGACATTCCAGTGAAGGACATCATGAGCACCGATTTACACAACTGAGAAACGATACATGCATCAGCCATGTCAGCCAGCCTTTTACGACAAGAATTGTCGTCTAGTATGACAAGCATGGGTTGCTGAAGACCACCGGATCTTTACGGATCGGGTGCTAACAAATACATGTCAAGTTATCCTTTGTTTGAGAAATAATGAGCACTGATAAATGCATTTTAGCACAAGATTCCGATGATCGGTAAACGAATCACAGAATCGCCCCTTTCATGATCCGTGGCCTGTCAGTGCCATGCCCATTTTCATGAGTTCACGAAAAACACTTACCCGAAAACAACTGTAATCCACAAGCTTTTCTGGGAGTAAGTTTATCTATTTCACTCTTGTCGGTGATTGAACCAGTCTCCTGTAGTTTCTTCTTATCCTCATCCGAGAGCTTCGTTACCTGATAACCAGGGTCTTCCACATCGACAGATCTCTTGCTGATGTTACTGTGCCGAGATTGGGTGGAACAGTTGCATGTACAGGACTGGAATACCAAACAAAGTTTCAAAACTTCAACTGATCATAGGTGAATTCATTATTTATTTATTCTATGTTCAAGAACATCGGCAACTTACCATTGCTGTGATATTTTACATACAATGCCAAATGTGCTGGGTGAAATGGGGTTCATCGTCGTGTTCAAGATTATTGCATTTATATCGCGATACGTGTGTGCACGCTGACGCGATTGTGTGTGGATGTTTGTGATAGTAAGGGCTCATGTCAGTTTTAAAGTGCTAGCCCACTGAGATACCTCACGACAGTTTAACAGGAATACCCCACTCGGATACAGTATACTAACACTGAGTACAACATTTCTTGTATTAATGTTGAGCGCCAGGTAGGTCAACAACAAGTACCATATTTTAACGTCTTTTGGTATGACGCGGTGATCCAAACACCGACCATCGGCTTTCTGGGCAGATGCTCTATCCACACGACCACGGAGGCGGCCTTACAAAATCAGTGGTGACTTGTATTCTGAAAGTAGGCATGTCCATGACAGTGCCATTATCACATACCTCAGCAACAGGATCAACCCTGCAACAGGCACAGGCGGGTTCAGGCCAGATAGGTCTTGGTGTGTAGTCAAAGTCCAGGATGTAGTCATCTGGGCCGTCCCAGAACAGGACACTTGTGACCGCCTGACCATCACCTGCTGCAGCTCGGATAGATAGCTGAAACACACGGAGAAAACGTCATGCTGGTACACACATTCTGTTATTCGAAATATGCGTGTAGCGAGTGACTGTTGTTTTACTCAACAATCAATATTACGGCCGCATGTTCATCATCAAGACCAGATGAACTAGTGGTGGAAATTATTAGCAACATCCATCGAGTCTGATCATCCGACTCATACGACAAGAATTGGCTCCTTGGGACCAAATCTACCCCGGAATCCTCAAGGGGTTCTACTATTAAGGCCAGGGAGGAACAGTGAATCAATGAGGTGTTTCATCTTTTTGTGTAAATATTCCTCTTTGTTCTGTTTCATAGATAACATATACAAGTAAGTCGAAAGTGATCATATAAATTTACTGTTATGTGGACATTAATAATTTAATAACAATTATATTGAATTAATTTCTTATAAATTTGCATTTGAAGCCTCAGGTACTGTGACAATTATTTTACACGATTTACGTCACCAGTTGCATTACACTGCAGTGACCCAATTGCAGGGACATTCTTCACACTTACGCAAAAAAGTAGTTCCAGTTCCGTAAGTAAAACTCGTTTTTATTAACAAGAGTTACTTTTACTAATTAACATCAGAAATGAGTAAACATATGTTACTTCTTAGAATTTTTGGAAATAATTTGCATTAACTTCAAAAAGAAACAATTTTCACTCACAATTGCGCATGAATACAAGTATGTGAACAACTTTCAAAATGGAAAACTGCCTTTAAGCATAGATTGGAAAACGTAGCCTGGGTGGACTAGGTGACAGGAGACCCGTGAAGATCCGAGGCAGACCCATGATTGCCGTAAAAGGCGACTAACGGGAACAGGTGGTCAGGCTCGCTGACTTATTTGATGCATGTCATCGATCCCAATTGCGTGGATCGATGCTCATGATGTCAATTTCTGGATTGTCTGTTCCAGACTCGATTATTTACAGACAGCCGTCATATACATGGAATATTAATTAATGATGCTGAGTGCGGCGTTAAACAACAAATCAACCAACAAACTGGGTGACAGGATCTATGTGACCGTTTGTATGTGAATACCTTATACTCCCTGCGATTGACAAGATCATACATGTAGTAACGTTGGTCTTTGAGCATTAATTGGAAAACGTATCTTGGGAGGTGGATGGGGAATAGGCAACAATACCTATGAGACAGTTTGTATCATAATACCTTATACTCCCCGCCATTGACAAGATCAGCATCTCTGAAGTAGGTTCCAGAAAACATGGTGTCAGTCTTGGTGTCTCGGGACAGTTTGATGTCCACTTTGCCGGACTCGGGATGGACGTTAGCTGACCTGTAGGTCAAGGTCAAGCTACGGTTGTTGCTGTCGTAGTTCCGGTCTGACTCCAGGTACTTCCACTCCGAGTCATCAAATGTGACCTGTCTGACAGGACATGGAGACACGTCGGGCACAGGGTGGTGCAGGAATGTGCCTGTTAAAGATTGCAGCTGGATTCATTAACTTGACAAATCCCCCAAATGACGATTATTAATATACTAGAAGTAGAAATCACGAGGGCTACTGAATACAGGACATGTAGTGTCCATACAATGTATCAGTACCACTAATTTTCTGTCTGGATCATAAACTAGTTTCGTCGTACTTCATATATTGAGATTATAAAGTTGCATGTATCTAAACATATTAACGGCATAACTCACAAACGCGTGTAACACACTACCGATTTCTTTCATGAGCAAATTATGTATCCACCTTTGACAACCTTTGGAAAAGCAAACGCGAAGGTTATATTAGTGCGTGAATAGGCACCTGTAATCACGTTGGCAGAGCCGCTCCAGCTGATGTCGTGAGTGAAGTCATGTCCGTCGATGACGAGGCCGGAGGAGGGGTGGGAGTTGTCATACAGGACTGGTGGAGAGTCTAATGTCGACTTGAGACCAGCAAAGTTCTCCGCCACGAGACGCACAAAGTAGGGAGTGTTGCCCTTGAAGGAGAAAATGTGAAAATTCAATATCTACCAGGATGTGTCCGTAGACGTGTCAAAATTTACATCCAATTCTTGTAAATCACCCACCTGCATAGTGATGTCCATGAATTTATAAGACGTGTAGTTGACATCAATCTCTATGGAATCTACGACAGTTTCTTCCGCCGAGTCTTTGTCACAGGAGGCTCTCTTCAGCAGGGCTGCGTGGTAGCAGCGGATGCCCGAGTCTTCATCACTGAAGTCTGTCCAGTAGGTCTGAAGACTCTCACTGCTCGCCGAGTAACTCAGTTTCTGACAAGTGGAACACAATGGTTGCTGTTAAATATTTAGATCTACAATAACACAAAAGATTCTGAGTTTCCAAAAATACATTTTTCAATAGTTAACTTTCCTTTATGTCGAGCAATATTCCAGCAGGCCCAGAAATGTCGGTGTCTACATTGCACAACTTTTGAGGGACAGTCGAGCATCCTCCTTCTTGCTCTCGAGGCCTTCGTAAAGTTTCAAAAGGTTTTATGGTAGACATATATTTCCAACTTTGACGCACCAGTGACAAAATTCCCTATTTTGTACCATAACATTCCGTGTGTTTTACTCCGAATAACAACTGATTTATGTTTGTGACGGGGGCCACGGGTGGGGCAGGATACGTTCACATTTTCGCGAACACCTCGTATCATCACAAAACACATGCTGGTGAAGTGCGGCGTTAAAAAAGATAGAAAAATAAAACATGCCAATGCTAATGTCGGATTGTACATTGGAGATTTTGCATTGTTATGGAAAGGCACGTGTCACTATTATTTTATCAACGCGTATGTTTGATATGATATATTTCTTTCATTACATAAATATATCATCATCCAAGAACCTTTCCTTATACTTCATTACTTTGCCTAATGGTACTGTATGGTCATCATCAGTTGGTATGCCTTCCTCTTCTAGACGTACGACGAACTTGATAGTTTAGTATACAATAAAATATAGTAACTGCTGAATTCCTACCATGTTTCAAAGATTTCCTTACTGGTCACTAATTCAAGCCATATATGCCAAATTGTTGCATTGCTAAGCAAATACCGAAAACGTCGAAATCAAAGGAAAGAACATGAAGAAATTAGATCACTTAAATGCAATAATTGTTACTTTAAGCTGCGAATAACGTGACATCTTGCGGGTGCCAGGACTTTCGAGCTAGTGATGAGTTACTGTCCTAGCGCGAGGAATACGTTATTCGAGGCATGGAAGAACCTGGTTGATTTATTACTAAACCGTATCTCTGTAACGAACCATGTCGTAATAGGGCCCTGTTCTGATCCTGCCTTTGACTGGAGGTGTGACGTCCACCTGGAACTTGTGACTAGTCACGTTGCACTCTCCGGCCTTGTCAGCACCTAGAGTAATGACATAGTGGCAGATAATCACATGACAAAAGAAGCGTGTGGGTGAAAGCTGTTTCACGTCAGCAAAAATATCAGGTCTGACTAACCAGTGGTCGACAGTATCAATCCACGATGATACAAATCAGCCATGTCATACATTTTGACCACCGAATCCGCAAATGTCGGCTCTAATAACACGTTTGGCATCTATACCACATCTATTCCCACGTGGCTGGTATTTAAAATCGAACTGAAGCTAATAAGACTCGGAGTATTACATATTCTAGTTCCTTTCAACACTCATCTTTGAGGCTAGACGCCATCCTCAGAATTTGTTAACATTATGATTATTTCTATTCAAATCTCAGTCTATTGCATGCACTTTATGAATGCGAAATAATTATAAATATGTGGAAAGAACTAACTAATTGTACAACAACCAAGATTGGAAATACAATAAATTGTAACATGGGTAAGTTTTTATTTAGCTTTATGGAAAAACGCAACGGTGTCTTACACTTGAAAGCAACAAATGAGAAACATAATATATTCAACATGAGACACAAGTATAACATTGTCTTGAGTGAGAGTGAGGGAGTGAGATTTTTGGCCGCTTTCAGCAATATTAATGTGTAATGTCATGTATTAAATGTACCTGATGGCCCAAAGTGCAAATTACAAAATACAAAAAATAAGAGTTTAAAATGTAATACATGCCCCTCTTTAGTTAAGTGTATACTTACCGACAACCCAAGCATAGTAGACTCCATTCTGTTCCAGAGACAGATTTTCAAACTTCATGAATGTGTCCTTCCCGACATTTTGTAGGTCCACAATGTTGAAAATACCTTGTCGTTCATCGTCAGTGATGGAGCTTCTTTCAGTCTGAAACAAACCGACAATATTAACATCCTTTCATGGTATTCGAATCTTAAACAAGCAAACGAATTCATCTACACTCCAGCCTATTGTCCAATCTTAAAGACAGTGATATATGACAATCAGATGTCACGTTGTGTGACTTTATCAGTTGTCAGTTTTTCCACATGTTCTGAAAGAGGTTGAATACAAGAGCCACTGTTTAACATCTCCATAAAACTTTGTACTAATATCTGCTTTATTAAGACTGTATTTATAAACAAAGGTTATAATCATTTTCCAGTAAGTGAAGGCTAAGATTATTTAGTATCAGTGAGCACTGCATAATTTACTCATTTAATAATCGTGAATTGAGCATTGCTATAAAAGAAGGTATTGTTAAGGTACAAGGTACATATAAGGTACAAAAGGTACAAAATATGTGAGCATGCCGGCCCCTCAAAACCGGGTGAATTTCAAACTCATTTACGATGAATCCTTTAATAGCTTTAACTGCAGCAGCGTCAACTGGAGTGTCGTTTGAGTAAAATAAGAAAATAAAACGTAATTTTAAAGTCCATAAAGAACAAGGACACCGTACTAGACGTAGACTGATATTGTACACAGTTTCATGGAAAAGTACACAACAGAACAGGTATAAGATTGGTTCCATTCAAATCACGTCTACATTTATAAAATTCATATCAAAACAAAATAATTGGTGGAGTGATAAAAAGCAAATGGAACATCTACAAGATTCATAAAGATATCTCTAATATGTTTCGAGTTGCGCTCCAGAAATGAAACCTTCTGCGTCCATTACCTACTAAGTCTAAATTTCACAAACCATTTCAAAATATATAAAAAATGCAGCGGAAACCTTAATAGGGGAAGACACATCTACACAATATAGAGAATGTGTATAGCAAGTTTTGTAAAGTTATCTCTTATGGTTTCCGAGTTTTGCTAACGATAGGTGACGGTGGGATGGACGGATCCAGAATTTTCGTTTTGGGGTAAATGTGCAGGTGTTTTGAGCACTTTGCAGTGACTAAATCTCTTGAAATCTTTTGGAAACATTGAAAGGGTCACATTGGCTATCCAACTATTGTTAATCGCTATGCTGTCGCACATGCGCCTTGCGATAGCACCCTCACAGGGGCCTCTGACATCAATTTAAACTCCTTCAAACGGTTGTATTTCCCTAACGACCAGTTATAGGTGTCGGACTTCGTATCTTAGAATTTGGAGAGCTTTCCAACGAGCCACCATGCTAAAATCGCTTAATATTTCAGAAAAGTGTGTTTCACACCTCTCCAGCAAAAGTACATCCAACTCAACAAACAGAAAACAACTTGTTCGCTCTTGTGTGTTTGGGAAAAGCGCCAATTTTCGTTTTTGGCGTAAATGTGCAGGTCTTTCGTAGCACTTTGCAGTGACCAAATCTCTTGAAATCTTTTGGAAACATTGAAAGGGTTACATTGGCTATCCAACTCTGTTTAATTAATCCCCATGGTGTCGCGCAAGCGCGTGCGGTGGCACCCTACGGACTCCGTTTCTATATTCCCCCAACTTGGTTGGGGCGAAGGATATTTGGATAAATTACCAGGCCGGCACAGAAATCGGATAATGGATACGTTGTGCTCCATCTATACTCATACTCACAAACTGTCCACATCTATAGTTGTCTGCCATCTATACTCACAAACTGCCCACATCTATAGTTGCCCGCCTCCGTGTTGTTGGACAGGCCCACGTAGTACATCATCATGCCAATCTTTGATTCGAACCCGTTCCACGCTACATCTACGTAGGTATGAGTTGTCAGGTATTCCTTCATATCTATAGAACCGGCTGTAATACAACATAGCAACATTTTTTTCTGGGATGGGATCAACACTGCTTTATAATAATATAAAAAGCAAATCATGCCAGTTTTAAAATCGTTGGGAGAAAAGGCAATGTAGGATGGCGCCTTACTCGTTCAAGCCTTGAGCGCTCAAGTCGTCTAAGGCATGCCAGAAACCCATGATTGTGGGTTCGAATCACGGTTCGCCCCAAATATGTTTCTAGGTTTGTGCTCGTGCTCGTTGGTTCCACCGAAGTGGTAAACATCTGAGACCTGCATCACTTCGGGCTTTCCTCCCACATTAAGCTGACACGCCGCGATATAACATGAATACTGTTAAAAGCGGCGTTAAACCCAACTCAGTCACTCACTCACCTGTGCACGGGTATGTTGCTGACCAAACAAAAACGTAATCAGGGGAAATTTGGGATTCGAACCTACGTAAAACCGCCTGGCATAGGTAATGAAAGCAATTCTGCACTGTCAATGTCGGCGCCTCAGGGCAATAGGTCAGCCGTTCTCTAATATCAAAATACGTTTCTTCAGTTTAATATGGAGACGAAAGGACGTGGAGCCAACTGATCAGTGGGTCACATATCATGCAATATTGCCGAACTTCCACAGCTAGAATGGGCCGCTCACTTTGTACCCATTAGGGTAATCTGTGGGAGTCGAATGCCATGTTTGTATTTGTATGTTGTTTAACGCAGCACTCAACAATAGTCCGGTTGCATTATGATCTGTAAATAATCGAGCGTGATCCAGATAATACAATGAGTGATATTTCAACCCATGATCCACCAGTCGGGGTAGTGATACGCATCAACCAAGCCACCAAGCTTAACCAGTTGATCCATTTAGTTGCCTCGTACGACAAGTATACGGTGCTGGTGACCAAATTAAACCCGGAAACACCATTGAGGTCGAACGCTTTAACAGATCCTTCACTTACATGTATACCTAGTGTGCTTCAAGTTTATCTGGGGGCACGGGTGGCCAAGTCGTCTAAGGCGCCGCCATTCGCTGTGCAGAGTTGCGTTCCTTGGGCACGCCAGAAACCTATGATTGTGGGTTCGAATCACGGTTCGCCCCGATTATGTTTCTAGGTTTGTCAGCACCATACCCGTGCTCGTGGGTTTCACCGAAGTGGTAAACGTCTGAGACCTGCATCACTTCGGGCTTTCCTCCCACAGTAAGCTGACACGCCGCGATATAACTGGAATACTGTTAAAAGCGGCGTTAAACCCAACTCACTCAATCAAGTTTATCTTCTATAGTCATGTGTGTACTTTCCTTGTACCATACCGAGATACAGAACGATCTCGTTAAGCATATAATGATACCATTAGGGTGTAAACGTTGGCTGATTGTTGTTTTAGGAAAGCTCAAGGAAAATAATAAGCAGTGATCTTACCTGAAACACCACCATCAAACCCAGCAGAGAAACCATTGGATGTGACGTCAGCTGTAGACCCAGATCGACTGTGTGCTCTAACGGTGAAGTAGTACGTGCCTGTAATGGGGGTCAGGTCAAGGTCGAAAAAGGTCACAGTCTTGTTGAGGCCAACGTTAACAAATGGAACGATGTTGTCACGTGTTTGTGGAAAACGGCGGTCAGTTCCGACGGCAACTTCGTAGAAAGCAACTTCTTGGCTGGTTGATTTTTCTTCAAGAATGTTTTCTACAAGATAAACAACTTGAATATGAAGTTCATTATCTTTCAATTGCTGCCATGATAGTTATATTGTCAGAAATTACATGTTGTCGTTATCAACACATTTGTTAAAAGCAACAGCATTATTAAATGCTAGTTGCCTTCATTTTCACTACATTGACTACAACGTTTACCAAGTAATACGTCTACATCACACCATTCACTAATTAAACCATATGAAATCGGTTTATGCATCAAGTATGCGAGCTCACCAGCCTCAATGCCAGTGGATTCCTCGTCAGCGTTACCATCGATGCCAAATTTGTCCCAGTTGGCGCTGACTTTACTTTTGGTTCGGAAGAACTCAAGGTCAAATCCCACGACATCTCCATCATTGACCTGTCCAGGCACCAAGGGGTCATCCTCGATGGTGATGCCGTTCGACCTGATGGTGTAGGTGTAGTCCATGGCGTTGGTCACCCGTAGGTACTGGTAGTAGCGTTCCATGTTCTGCATGCTCAGTTGGTCGTTGACGCCATGAGTTCTTCCTGGAATTGCAGAACAATTGATGAGATTCAGCACAACAAACAACAGAGATACAGGAAACTGCTGCTGAACAAGTCAAATATATTTTAGATTTAAATATGGCGGATTATACAAACTGAAGCATCTCAAATATCTAAAACAGTCAGGCTCCTTTCCAATTTACTACTTGGTCGTCGAATCTTTACAATATTTTACAGATGTGGAATAAAGTTAAATTCATTTTGTTCTGATAACTAAGTTCATTAATGGAAAATATCTGGAAATACATCTTTGCATAAAAAAATACAAAGGCCATACAGAATACATGTGATCATTGTCAGCTGCAACGCCCACCTTCTGTATTGAAGTACTCCTGGACCCTCCGACCGTCAGCCCTTTGTATTGCCCACTCATACTTGACCACTGGACACGGGTCACCTGACACGTCCCACTTGGCCCCCATTCGGGACAGACTCGTCTGGAAGTCACTGTAGAGAAACAAGGTCAACTACGAATTAGATACTGAATCATCCTTGCATGTGAAGATGATGATATTACCTGACACGCCCCACTGTAGAGAAACAAGGTCAATCACAAAGTAAAGAAAAACGACAGTGTGCGTTTTCCCAGAGTTGTTGGTGTCATGCTTTTAGACAGATATTCATAAAGCTTCACACTGTATTCCAGACAATACTCACAGGTCTCCATCGTGACTTTCGCCATCCCAGATTCCAACATGAGTGAGCGGCTCCAAGCCCTGACTGAGGTAGGACATGTAGATACCGTTAGACGTGGATATTGTGCTGAGGCCAGCTCCATTGGTAGCTTTTACTGTCACAAATATCTGTAATTTAAAATTCATTTTTACCATACTACATGTACTTAACGTTTGTTCGGATGACCCTATTCCGTGATACCAAAACACAAAATCCATTCACAAAACTGAATAGTATCTTGTCGGAAAACACTTTTGTACTTCTTAACATCAGAGCTCTGATGATTTCCTAAAAATCAAGTGTGTCATTTCTGTCGGGCAAACACATTACCTTGACACGGTTCTGGCTGATAATTGTTTTATAAACAGCAATATTCCATCAATATCACGGAGAGGGACACCAGAAACACATCAGCCCTATATTCACGCTTGTCACTCTACAAGTTACAAATCATGTCGAGAGTCAAATATTTATCTCACCTGTCTTACTCCCTTCAGTACCAGGCCCGTGACCGACAGGTATCTCTTTGTGACGTCATCAGTCTCAAAGAACCCTCTCAGCTGCCCCCCTCCGGGTGAAGTGCCAACAGCTATCTCGTATCTGAAGAAGCCAAACCAAACAACATATATATATATAAATATATATATATATATATATATATATATATATATATATATATATATATATATAAAAGATATGCAACACCAGTAGGGCGTATTCAGTGAGGGAGTGAGTTTGGTTTTACACCGCTTTTAGCAATATTCCAGCAAAATCATGACGGGCGACACCAGAAATGGGCTTCACACATTGTACCCATGTCGGGAATCGAACCCGAGTCTTCGGCGTGACGAGCGAACGTTTTAACCACTAGGCTACCCGACCGCCCCAGGGCGTATTCAGAACAATGGCGGTATCAGGATCATGGGCAACAGACCACCCTTGCAGCTGTCACCCCTATACGACCACACACACCGAGATTATAGGTGCTGAGGTGTTTCCGTTGGGCGTAGCGGTCAGTACCAACACTAGGACCATGTGTGAGGATGGGTTTCGTCATTTTTAGCAATATTCTAGCAAGATGATGGTTGGAGACATCAAACATGGGCTTTACACAAAGTTTTGTCTTGTGTGTCGTTTAACGCCGCACTCAGCAATAGTCCAGCTATATGACGGCGGTCTGTAAACAATCGAGTCTGGACCAGACAATCCAGTAATTGACATCATGAGCATCGATCCACGCAATTGGGATCGATGACATGCATCAACCAAGTCAGCGAGCCTGACCACCTGATCCCGTTAGTCGCTTCGTAGGACAAGTATACATGTGGGAATCGAACCTTGGCCTCGGCTTAACTAGCGACATCATGACAACTAAGTTACAACACTGATCCCTTGGTCTATGAAATCATTACGATAGTACATAAGGCTTGATGCTTAAATACTGGCATATTTAGCTGCTGTAAGATAGCTTATTTTGATGCAGAAGAACATATCGAAATGAAGACTGTCAGCATGACGTACTTGACAATCTCCGTCTCGTCATCAGTGAAGGTCTGCCAGGCCACGTTGACAGTGGACAGAGACTCCTGGCACACCGCGTCTATAGCCAGGCAGTCTGTGGACAACAGATTCAATAATGAAATACAACAATTGAACGCACCAACGGGAATATATAGCATACATTCGGGTCCATTTCCTTTTTTTCAGAGCAGAAATAAGTACAAGCATGACCTGATATATTGAATGATACTCGAATACAGAGAAAATACATATGAAAGTTTGTAACATAAATATATATTGCTATAAAGTACCCTTATAGAATACTGTCGAACTGTTATCAGTATGCAAAATCATGGATTGTGAAGGGCTTTGGAGTGAGTGAGTGAGTGTGTGAGTTGGGTTTAACGCCGCTTTTAACATTCTTCTAGTTATATCACGGCGTGTCAGCTTAATGTGGGAGGAAAGCCCTTAGTGATACAGGTCTCGGACGTTTACCACTTCGGTGAAACCTACGAGCACGGGTATGGTGCTGACAAACCTAGACATATAATTGGGGCGATCATGGATTCGAACCCACAATTATAGGTTTCTAGAGTGCCCAAGGGACGCAACTCTTCACAGCGAATGGTGGCGCCTTAGACGACTGGGCCACCCGTTTCCCCAAAGGGCGTTGGAACATGATAATGGATATTAATCAAAAGTGACAGTTTTGCTTCTGTACTGAATGTGAAGGGTTGCATTTGACCCTTTCACGAATACGGTGCAGCATTAATAGGCTATTTGCCCGAAGAAGACAATAATGCCCTTTGCTCATTACATTGCATTTAGATCTATTTACATGTTCAGAGTCATAATGCAAAACTGAAAGCGACACAGCCCTTTCCTTAACCATTGAGACAACAGTACGATTCTGACTATATCAGTAACATGTGTTTATGAATCTACCTTCCTCTGTGTCACACTCGTAGGTGTTGAGTTTCTCGGTGATGACCTCGTCGGTGACGTTGATGATGTAGACAGACTTCAACTCCACCACAGCGCCCGGCGCCGGTTGTGTGGTGTCCACGTACATGGCGTTGGAGCTGCTGGATGACGTCATCCCAACTTGGTTGATGGCCTTGACTTTGGCGTAGTAGCTCTTACCATGGACAAGATCACCAGCTAAGCCTTCGCATGAAAACGAAAAATATGTATGATATGGGTATCTGAAAGAAATTCATAAAATATTTAGAAAATAGAAATGTTTGTTTTTGTGTTGTTTACGGCCCATTCAGCAATATTCCAACTACCGGTATATATTATCGAGTATGTGTCCGACAAACCAACCTATGTCAGGAGCATCAATAAACGATGACATGTTGTCAACGAAGTCCTTTTACCCTTACCCTGATGCAACCCTACCACAAGGTAGTAGATAGCTGAGAGACCATTCTTACCTTAATAGGGGCGGTCGGGTTGCCTAGTGGTTAAAGCGTTCGCTCGTGACGCCGAAGACCCGGGTTCAATTCCCGACATGGGTAAAATGTGTGAAGCTGATTTCTTGTGTCCCCTGCCGTGATATTGCTGGAATATTGCTAAAAACGGTGTAGAACCATACTCACTCACTCACCTTAATATCCAGGGGGGGGGGGGGGGGGGGGGTGTCAGTCTGCTCTGGTTGTTCTCACATGAACATGACTCTGAACATGCAAATACAGACACATGCACTATGCGTACACCAATATAAACTTCAGCTATAACTGAAAAACGATTTAGTGCACCCAGTTGTGAAAATTATTATGTTTACAAACAAACATAATTGTCCTTTCTGTACCTGAGACTACATATTTGGCAGCATGTCCCGGCAGTTTGACAGGTGCTACGACGTCCTCCAGCCCCTCGTGGGAGCCTACAGCGAACTCAAACTCTACAACCTGACTCTCGGCATCGTAGAACCCTGTCCATGTGCACCCCACGGCAGATCTCGGCTGTCAACATGTATGGAACGAATATAATTGTAAATGTGGCTTTAACATTCATTATATAAATCAAAGGTGAGATTATATCTAAACATAACTAACAACATCTTTTAAAATAAATAAAATATCATAATTGTTACATTACATCAGATTATAATAGTTACAAAATGACTTATATCTGCCTTCTGTCGATGAATAATGGATCCTTATTGTAAAGGGTATTATGTTTCTTATTAATGAAACCATTGCTATTCGATTGCAGGCATTACCTGAATAAATGGTGGACAGGTCAGAACACCCTCGGCTGGTGATGACAGGTCCACAACAAGATAAGGGGAGATAATACTAGCAGACAATCCCAGTTCATTTTCGGCTGTTAGAGTCAATATATTTGGCTTGCCTGTAAATGCAATACATCATTAATAAAACTGACATGTTCCATAAACATCACACGGTTAATTTTTTAATCAAGTATACGTATGTTCGCTTGCAAGTAGATGATCAGTCTTGATCCCTCTCATAAACGGTGAATAATCTTGATATTCTCATATTAAATTCATTATTTTTGTTTCTGGACCCTGCCAGTTCTTACCATCAGTTGTGGGTTTGATGCCAGTGGGAAGAGCCCCCTCACCGGTCAGCAGGATCTCCACGTCAGTCCGGGGCTGGACATCCTCCCCGTGGGGGTAGGTCCCCACAGAGTAGTACATCTTCTTGACTGGACTCTCACTGTCTGCAGCCCTCCAGGAGGAGGAGATGGAGTCCACCTCAGATTGGTACAGTGTCGTGGTGGGGGTCAGTCCTCTCTGGTTGTTCTCAGGACCATAGCTGTGAGCGAAACACGGACAATGTTTAGTTGACGTACATAGCGTTTGTGAGAGGTTGCTCTGGTTGTTCTGAGAGCCATAGCTGTGAGGGAAACATGGACAACGTTTATGTTGACGTACATAGCGTTGGTGATAGGTTGCTCTGGTTGTTCTGAGAGCCATAGCTTCGAGGGAAAACTCGTAGCTTTGACTAAGATTAATCAGATCAGACTGACCAAGGCAGCTTGTAACCGCACACCTCAAGTTTCACTCGTAGCTTTGACTCAGATTAACAAGATCAGACTGACCAAGGCAGATTGGAACGCGAACTTGACATGTTTCACGAGTGCAGGCTGGCAAGTTTAGTTAGTTGACGTACGTAGCGTTTGAGACCAGGGTGTTATGATTGTTCTCAGAGTGAGTGAGTGAGTGAGTTTGATTTTACGCCGCTTTTAGCAATATTCCAGCAATATCACGGCGGGGAGACACCAGAAATGGGCTTCACACATTGTACCCTTGTCGGGAATCGAACCCGGGTCTTCAGCGTGACGAGCGAACGCTTTAACCACTAGGCTACCCTCAGAGACATAGCTGCGGGGGAAACATGGACAATGATTAGTTTACAGTACATATCACTGAAGCAAGTCTGTCCTCGATGGTCGTACAGTCGTCTTTGTCAGTGAAACCTGAACAGTGCTTAGCGGGTCTTTTGGACACTTGTGGTGTACGGTTACAAGCTGCCTTGGTCAGTCTATTCTGGTTAATCTGAGTCAAAGCTACGAGTGACACTTGAGGTGTACAGTTACAAGCTGCCTCGGTCAGTCTGATCTGGTTATTCAAAACTATGTGTGAAAAATGAACAATGGTTAGTTGACAGTACATGTTGATGGAGGTCAATTTGCTCTGAATCATGCGAGCTAAAGTTAACAATGCAAGAATGATATCTTCCTGAAAAATACACATGTCTTCATTGTCAATATCCGTATATTCCCGACAAGATGTCTACCTTTCCATAGTGATGGCAGGAGCCGTGATATCCACAGTAAACCCATCTGACGTAGATTCCAGGATGTTGCCACCGTTGGTGATGCCGCGGACTGTGGTGTAGTATGTCGTGCCGGATGACAGCGGTAGAACAGCCTGGCCAAACCCCATGCTGGAGATACCTACATGAGACATTGCCATGTTTAGCAGGTAGTAAACAGATATGTTCTTGATCACCATCATGCACATGCATTATATGAAGTTAACGTACAGGGAAACAGTGCTAGGGCTTGATAGTACAAAATAATTGTGTATCCGTCTACCCTAGCTCCTGAGATGCCGTTTGACATCATTGTGATGAAATATGAGATATAGCAGGATAAAAAGATGAACCAAATATCTAGTTAAGAAGAGATTGACTATTTTAATGTTCTTCGGGAAGGGAGCGGATGTCGGGGTGACAAAAATTGTCCTCACGTTTTACCAGAAACTTATTAAAATTGATTTGCTCTTTTTCTGGAAGTATCTGCATTTTGAAGCAGAGGCCGCAGACTATCATTTTTCGATCACTAAAGTCTGTAAAAATGAGGCTAAACCAAAATGAAAACATATCAGATCTATGTCCTGACTCACAGTTAAATTTCACTTGTACGTTATTCACTTAGTGATAGATCGATGATGCGATTGAGCTGATCATATATCAGTTTTAGGCTTTGGTGTAAATTTAAGGCATTTAAGTTTGAGGTTGATGATGAATAGTGTATAATCTGGCTAGTTTTTAGAAATATTCAACAGAATGTCTTCATCTATATCACATTGCATTCCCAAACCGTAAATCTTTTAACCTACCATTTCCAGGAACATTGGTCTCTGCTTCTTCATGTATGAGACCTGCCTTGATGAACGGTTGCACTTCCTCGCCACCAGGTGTCGTGCCAACCGCCCAGTCATAGTACGTCACACCGTGCTCGTGGCTCTCAAACCCGGCAAACTGTACCGTCACAACTCCCGCATCTTTCTGGTAGTCCATGTCGCTTCCGATGTCCATGAAGTAAGCTCTCTCGGTCGAGTCGGCGCCGTCGATGACAATACCTTGGGATAGAGATTTTTTTCAGTGTTCGCGTATGAGGAAATGCCAAAATGTCCCTTCTTCCACTGGTAGACAGGCTAAGGTGAGGTGAGGTGAACATGGGATTTAACATTACGTTCAATATTATTTCACTCATATAGCGACATGCACGGACATGTTTGTGTGTGTCTGTTCGAACTAGTCCGGATACATGTCGGTTTAATGGAGCTAGCCCACTGAGATAGCTCCTAGCCAACTAATCCCTGTTTAATGAAGCTAGCCCTCTGAGATAGCTCACAGCCAACCAATCCCTGTTTAATGCCCATGATGGCAAGCGCCAGGCAGGGAAACAACAAGGACAATCTTTTAACATATTTTGTTATGACGCGGCCAGGGGATCGAAGTATGGTTTTGTTTTCCACTTCGATAGGAGGGACATTACGATGATAGTGGTGAGGATGATGAAGAAGATAAATGAAGCTACGCACCTGTCTTATCCTGCACCACTACCCTGATGGGGGTTGATGTGATGACGTCACTAGTCAGATCAGCTCCATTGCTCGCCTTCACAGACACATAGTAAACAGGGGTCATCGTGTCAAGGTCAGTCACGGTCAAGGTCAAACCATCAACGTATTTGTTCCTGTCAGAACCAACATCCTTCCAATCTAGAATATCGGTTCCACCTGAAAGACACATTTCTGACAATACACGTTTCAAGTGAATCACATGTACGTTACAAAACAATTTCATGTGTTCATTAGGACCATTAGTATTAGACTGTTCTATAAATCATGACAACGTAGAACGGACCTCTACTGGTTCCAACGGCGACCATGTAAGACTTGATTCCACTCTGGATGTCTGTGGCAAACCACGTGGCCTTGATACCGCGTGGGTCAGATTGAACAATGTAGCCATCGATGACTTCTTCCACATTGCCGGACAGGATACCAGCATACACCCACTTCATCTGAATCACATTAAAACCGTTATAAGTAATCTATTCCTTGACATCATTTCTCACACATCTGGGCATGTCCCTATTGAAGAGGATCAACCAATGCAGCAAGTTGTGAGTGAGTGAGGCAGTCGGGTAGCCTAGTGGTTAAAGCGTTAGCTCGTCACGCCGAAGATCCTGGTTCGATTCCCGACATGGGTACAATGTGTGAAGCCAATTTCTGGTGTACCCCGCCGTGATTTATCAGATTGAAAGTTATCGTCAAGGCGTGGTACATCAAGAAGAATGAGGAAGGCATACCTCTCGGGAATGAGTGAAATAAAGAATGATTTAACATCTAGACTACATTTCTATTACTTTTCTGAGCTTTGAACAAAATTCTATTCGACGTCGAGTCATGGTCAGATTTGTTACTTTTACCTGCTTATTGACCTTTTATCTAAATACTAAATTAGCATTCTTACCTTAGGTGGAGTATTATCCAATAGTACACCATTGGTGTCATAGGCTGCCACGGCCCCGGCTTTGTTGGCAGCTCCCACTCTCACACTATACAGGGCGCCTGGCTTTAGCCTTAGCCCTGGTTGACTGAGGCTATGGATGCTGGGGTCGCTTATAATCGCCCATTTTCCAGATTCTATATTGTATGAAATTGTAGGGCTATAATGCAATAGTGTAATTAATCAGTATAGTTTCAATCAGAAATTAGGTGTTATTGATTGTGAATTAGCCCTGCTGATCGTGTCATTTTCCATACACATGAACCAAAGAAGCAGATGGGGCAATTGAAAGTGTAGTCAAATAACTATTGCCACGGAACAATTTCAAAGCATGTCGTGAGATACAAGATTCCGGTTGTAATCATAAGGACTATGTCATTTTGAAAACAAGGACAAAAGCATTTCGTTAGAAAATATTAACTGGATACGATTTTTAAAACTGAATCATACAGGAAACCGATGCTTAACATTTTCCCAGGTGTATAGTTTACAACCACTCGTATGACCAGATTCATCCTACCAATCCGGATATATATGATGTACCAACCCGGATATATTTGATGTTTTGACCCTCGGTACAGTTGATACACCCTGTACTTGAAATGATCCAATCCAGATTCTTCATCTATGAACTCAAAGTTGGCTTCGACAGTGGTGTTAGACAGCTGAAATAACAATGTTTTCCATCGGGTTTCAGAGAACCTAAGATCCAAAGCCTAACACTGGTGTCAATCATAATAAAAAGTAGATATACCTATAACGCCTCCTTAAAGGGACAGTAAATGGTTGAATGTTTGCTTAATACGTCAGTTTTCATTTTACAATGGGACAGTAAATAGTTGAATGTTTGCTTAATGCATCAGTTTTCATTATACAATAGGACAGTAAATGGTTGAATGTTTGCTTAATGCGTCAGTTTTCATTAAACAATGGGAGAGTAAACGGTTGAATGTTTGCTTAATGCATCAGTTTTCATTATACAATGGGATAGTAAATGGTTGAATGTTTGCTTAATACGTAAGTTTTCATTTTACAATGGGACAGTAAATGGTTGAATGTTTGCTTAATGCATCAGTTTTCATTATACAATAGGACAGTAAATGGTTGAATGTTTGCTTAATGCGTCAGTTTTCATTAAACAATGGGAGAGTAAACGGTTGAATGTTTGCTTAATGCATCAGTTTTCATTTTACAATGGGATAGTAAATCGTTGATTGTTTGCTTAATACGTCGGTTTTCATTATACAATGAGACAGTAAACGGTTGAATGGTTGCTTAAGGCGTTAGTTTTCATTATACAATGGGACAGTAAATGGTTGGATGTTACCTTAATGTGTAAGTTTTCATTATACAATGGGACAGTAAATGCTTGAATGTTTGCTTAATGCGTCAGTTTTCATTATACAAGGTGACAGTAAATGGTTGAACGATGCTTAATGCATCAGTATTCATTATACAATGGGACAGTAAACGGTTGAACGTTTGCTTAATGCATCAGTTTTCATTATATAATGGGACAGTAAACGGTTGAACGTTTGCTTAATGCATCAGTTTTCATTATACAAAGGGACAGTAAATGGTTGAACGTTTGCTTAATGCATCAGTTTTCATTATTTAATGGGACAGTAAACAGTTGAATGTTTGCTTAATGCATCACTTTTCATTATACAATGGGACAGTAAACGGTTGAACGTTTGCTTAATGCATCAGTTTTCATAAAATAATGGGACAGTAAACGGTTGAACGTTTGCTTAATGCATCAGTTTTCATTATATAATGGGACAGTAAATGGTTGAACGTTTGCTTAATGCATCAGTTTTCATTATATAATGGGACAGTAAACGGTTGAATTTAACCTTAATGCGTCAGTTTTCATTATACAATGGGACAGTAAATGGTTGAATGTTTGCTTAATGCGTCAGTTTCCATTATACAATGGGACAGTAACGGTTGAATGTCACCTTAATGCGTCAGTTTTCATTATACAATGGGACAGTAAATGGTTGAATGTTTGCTTAATGCATCAGTTTTCATTATATAATGGGACAGTAAACGGTTGAATGTTACCTTAATGCATCAGTTTTCTTTATACAATGGGACAGTAAATGGTTGAACGTTTGCTTAATGCATCAGTTTTCATTATACAATGTGACAGTAAACGGTTGAATGTTACCTTAATGCGTCAGTTTTCATTATACAATGGGACAGTAAATAGTTGAATGTTTGCTTAATGCATCAGTTTTCATTATACAATAGGACAGTAAACGGTTGAATGTTTGCTTAATGCATCAGTTTTCATTATACAATGGGACAGTAAACGGTTGAATGTTTGCTTAATGCATCAGTTTTCATTATGCAATGGGACAGTAAATGGTTGACTGTTTGCTTAATGCGTTCATGTCAATTATAAATCCAGACCATCCCATTTGTGTCAATCATAATGAAAGGTAGCTACATATATAACGCCTAGTCATTGGGACAGTAAATGGTTTGCATAAAGCGTGATGTTTGATTTTTCTTTTCACGCCACAACCTCACCTGGAACTCCGCATCTTTGCCCTGTTCACGTCCATCACCTAGGAACACCATCCTGGGCGGAGTGAGATCCACTACAAACCCATCTGTTGTCTGTTCTACGGTCCCCAGGGCGTTGTTGATGGTTTTCAGCTTCGTCTTGACAACGTCCTGGTGGTTTAGGTGGAAGTTATGCCACTCGATCTGGCTGACGTCTTTGCCCAGAGTCTTCCAGTCCTTTACTACCTCAAAGTTAGGAGCTACCGCAAAGTCAGGATTTCTGAAACATCCGAAATACATAAAGGCAAAATGTATCTCTAGAACACAGTCGCTACAGCAGGGTACTCATCTACATGTATGTAGAATACGATTCATAATTGCATAAACCTTAAGTTAGCATTTTATGCATTCAAACCATAAATACTCTCGAAGTAATTTGAAGGGACAGCGACATTGTATTAATGATTTGTTCTCCAATATGCATACTTAATTACAATCTGCTTTTATTAATTCGTGTTCCTCCGAGTTTTAAAATTTGCCCAATGTACGAATGCATTCATGAACATCTTCTTATACAAGAGCTTTAGTCGGATTCAACATGAAGACTATTATTGTGTAGTTCTGTACATGACGTGGTGTAGTGGATAGAGCGTCTGCCCCGAGAGCAGAAGGTCCCTCCCACTTACTTTGCTCTGAGTACCTGTACAGCATATTCGGGGCCACAATAGTTCCTCAGTGTCCCCACCATCCCACCCGTACACACAGTCACTTACTTTGCTCTGAGTACCTGTACCGCATATTCTCTGATGTCTGACTCGGGGTCACTGTGGTTCCTCCACTGGGTTCCTACTGTGGCAACGTGGGTACTGAACTCAACGTCGTCAAAGCCTTTCCGTATACCGTCAACAACTTCACCCGGCACCGGGGGAGTCAGGTCCACGATCACTGGAATAATTATGAAGATTTAGAGCAAATAAACACCAAAGGATGTTTTATGTGAATGACTGAATGGCGCTGTAGTCACCATATTACAGCATATCACGGCGACCTGTAGATACTCGAGCCTTGGTCAAGCAATTTATCTGCTGACTGATGCACAATGGGCATTACCTCCATCCGGCATTGTATTACCTCCAACAAACATTGCACTTCCCCCAGCAGACATTGCATTACCTCCATCTGACATTGCATTACCCCCATCTGACATTGCATTGCATCCATCTGACATTGCATTACCTCCATCTGACATTGCATTGCATCCATCTGACATTGCATTACCTCCATCTGACATTGCCGTGCATCCATCTGACATTGCATTGCATCCATCTGACATTGCATTACCTCCATCTGACATTGCATTGCATCCATCTGACATTGCATTACCTCCATCTGACATTGCATCCATCTGACATTGCATTACCTCATCTGACACTGCATAACATCCATCTGACATTGCATTACCTCCATCTGACATTGCATCCATCTGACATTGCATTACCTCATCTGACACTGCATAACATCCATCTGACATTGCATTACCTCCATCTGACATTGCATTTCCTTCATCTGACATTGCATTGCATCCATCTGACATTGCATTACCTCCATCTGACACTGCATAACATCCATCTGACATTGCATTACCTTCATCTGACATTGCATTATCTCCATCTGACATTGCATCACCTCCATCTGACATTGCATTGCATCCATCTGACATTGCATTACCTCCATCAGACACGACATTACCTCCATCTGACCTTGCCGATACGTTCAACTGTTTGTGGCCAGCGTTGAATGCGGTGATATAGAAGTTGTAGGCCTTGCCGTGTTCGAGCCTCTGGTCAGGGTCAAGCTGGAGACAGGTCTCGTGTGTCTTGTGGTCAAGACTGACCGGCTCGGAGATCGTCTTGTTTGTGTCATCAAGAACCGACAACTCGTAGTGGGAAATACCAGAGTCAGGGTCGTGAAACCCAACCCAGTTTGCGCATATCTGTTATAGATGCGGAGACATATATTTAAATTTAGGGAATTGCACTGAATACACTATTACACACAAAAGGTTCAGAGGTGCTTGATATTTCATCCAGAATATCAATTGTTTAATATGTGAAGAATGTTTATCTGTACCTTGGAAATCACAAATGACCTTACCTCGTCGGCATCTTTGGTAAAGTTGAGGTCAAGCTTGTATACAGGTCCATCATAAACTATGCCTTGTTCAGGGGGTGATGTGTCGACTACGATCGCATGGTCGGACACGCCCACTTTTCCCAAATCAACTGAAACACATACATTTTTTATCAGATAGTATGAGGTTTGTATGAAAATTTGCCCTGTATTGAGAAGGCTTACATTTTCTCGTCTATGTGGCAGCAGCTTTGTGATTGGCAGGAGTGTTGACATTAAGTGGCAGCAAATTGATTGAGGCGCTCTACATATCAACAATATCTAGTTCTGGTAGTGACCTTGACAGCTAGCTCTTTAGAGTGACCTCAGTGTTTACAGTCCAAATTCCGTTCCAGTGCTTAATACCTTCGTTGCCCTCCCTGTATAGGGAGTTCTGCTGTAAAGTTGTCGATTCAACTGACTGATTACACTGTTCACAAAACACTCTAGACGGCTGGCTGTTTCTGTAGACGAGGGCGACTCCAAGTCCTCTAGGACATGGCTTGGCTCCTGGCCCAGTGCAGACGGGATATCTATTGGAAAACATCGACTTTTCTGCCCGCTTCCAACAGGTTTCCTTGATTCAAGGACTGAGCAGGTGCCTCATTCAAGACATTCGACTCTTGACTAATCCTGGACATTCGTGAGTGCACTGACTTATGCAACGGAGCCTTTACATTCAGGGAATGTGTTCCTGCTGCCAACTATTTTGACCCATTGTACTGCCCTGTACTGTAAGTCTAAACCACGTGTTTCCATTTTATATATTATTGATTATTCATTGATCTTGTTTGGTTATTTATTGATTTCACCATTTACTATTTAGTTCTGCACGTGCCGGAAATCTGGGGTCTCCTCCGTGTCCCCGTTTGGACATTAATTTGAAAAAATATCAAAGTGTGAATTTTCTAAATTATCTTGCATGTTATAACCTCTGGGAAATTCGCTGTTTATAATGGTATGTGTACTGGACTTTTCAAGCAATTAAATATATCGAGGTGAATGTTTTGGTTGTGATAAGTTGCTATTATTCACTACGTTTTCATCACTGTGAAGAGGCGTGTTATTAAAACTCACCATTGTTGATGACCCTGACAAGCTGTAACTCACCATTGTTAATGACCCTGACAAGCTATAACTCACCATTGTATATGACCCTGGCAAGGTATAACTCACCATTGTTGATAACCCTGGCAAGCTATAACTCACCATTGTTGATGACCCGGGCAAGCTATATCTCACCATTGTTGATGACCCTGACAATGAATAACTCACCAATGTTGATGACCCTGACAAGTTATAACTCACAATTGTTGATGACCCTGACAAGTTATAACTCACCAATGTTGTTGACCCTTACACGCTATAACTAACCAATGACGATGACCCTGACAAGTTATTACTCACCAATGTTGATGACCCTGACAAGCTATACCTCACCATTATTGATGACCCTGACTTTAATCCAGACAGGAGTTCCACCTGGGATCTGGAACTGATGGGTGATATCGCCATCATTGTGCGAGGATCTCTGCCATTTCATGTGATGACAGTCACGTTTGGTCTGCCCCAGACACAAGTCTGCTTCTCTGATGTCGGACTCTGGGTCACTGTTATACATTAGCACATGATATACTACTCACCATTTGATAGGAAAAGTGAGATAGTTCTCACTGTGACGTAGCGCGACAACAGCTATTCGAACTTTGTATTTATTTTTAATCAAGTTGAAATGTGGCTTCACAGGACTCAGTTCCATGACACAATATCCGAGAAATCAGTTACTGTCAAACGTCACCTGGATACTCCCTCACACCAGCAAAGATCGAGTAGTATATATTCAAAAAATCACGTTAGTGCTTGTTCTGTAAAGGGGTTATTGATTGGGTGAGACAGCGTTTGTTTTAAAAACGTATGAAAAACATCATATTTAAACTTAAACATGACGTTCATTGTACAAACGATTTTGAGTCAGACTTCTATTGATCTAGTTGTTTGTTGAACCGGAATTAAAAAACAGCAACACAAAATTACCTGGCGTTAAACTGCGCGTTAATGGTGAATGTATCTTCGTTGTAGGAAATATTATAGATCTCGTATAAAAACGGTGGTGTGTTATCAATGCCAAGAGGCGTGGTGTGACAGATTGTAGTCGCTAACGGTCCTCCATACTCGACCTTGTTCAGGGCTCGCAACGTGACGTAATACTTCCCATCTGAAATCAAACCAACTAACATTAATATGGATCCCGAGTCAACATGAAATAATACTCAAATGAAATTAAGAACACCCTTTTTCATATGATAATAGTTAATCTGTCAAGATAGGTTGTCTTACTTTCATTTTCATAGCTAAACTTTACCGTAAGAGAAAAGAGAAATATATCATGATGCCTTAAAACTAGGCACCTACTTATAAGCATTTTCTTCAACACAAAATGCCATCTTCCTGCGCCATTTTACATATATCATGATGCCTTAAAACTAGGCACCTACTTATAAGCATTTTCTTCAACACAAACTGCCATCTTCCTGCGCCTCTTTACATATATCTCGATGCCTTAAAAATAGGCACCTTCTTAAAACCATTTTCTTCAACACAACGCCATTTTTAGTATTACTTTTCGGTGTCATCGCGTATTTTCAGGGATCCATTCATATCGATGCCATTGTTACATTGTATTTGAGTGATGGACAATTTGGGGATTCAAGGTTAGGATTGGTCTCCAGCTACCTACGTGCGTTCTATGAAACCAAAGAGGCGAGTGAATGGATCGGGTGGTCAGGTTTAGTGACTTTGCAAACTGCGTTTGATTTTACCCTGACGGTGTGGGACGTTGTCTTACTTCATTTTTATAAAAATAAAATGCTAATTAGGTCAACTATTGTTGTTGGTAAGCGCATGTATTCCAATTTACAGACGATTATTACAATGGATGATCAAGTGGTAAAGTGAGGCCATGTCATTACATATACTAACTGTCTGGGGGCACGGGTGGCCCAGTCGTCTAAGGCGCCGCGATTCGCTATGCAGAGTTGCGTCCCTTGGACACGCCAGAAACCTATAATTGTGGGTTCGAATCCCGTTTAGCCCCGATTATGTAGCTAGGTTTGTCAGCACCATACCCGTGCTCGTGGGTTTCACCGAAGTGGTAAACGTCTGAGACCTGCATCACTTCGGGCTTTCCTCCCACATTAAGCTGACACGCCGTGATATTACTGGAATACTGTTAAAAGCGGCGTTAAAACCAACTCACTCACTCACTCACTACTAACTGTCTTGATGATCGTACGAGGTGAGATGGCATGCCATTGTCTGATCCAGGCTACATTATTTACAGGTTGACCTTTAATTGAAATATTGTTGAATACCTTCAAGAACAAAGACACAAAATGGGCAAGGCATCGATAGTTTGATCAACAGCTACACCAGGAATAACAACAGTACCTGGGAGAGGGTCATAGGGAGCCCTTGGAATGATGACACCTGTATTTGTCCACGCTGATTCGTCAAACAGGTTTCTGTGAGGGTCATGATGAGGGTGGATCAGCTCCTCACAGATTTGTCTCCCCACGGTCCAGGAGTAGCCAAGGATGCCAGTCTCTTTGTCCATGATGCCGTTCCAGTTAGCTGAAACAGGGACACAGAGCAGATATGATTTGGGGGCTGCTATCACGCGCCCGTCTAACAAGGTACTTGTGGAACAAGACTTGTATTTTGCTTGTATATTTTGACTAATTATAATATTTAACAATGAACTACATGGAATGTATACCACTTTAGAAACAAGAGCCACCTAATCAATTCCATAAGCAGGAGAAATTATTAAAGCAGAGCCCAATGTATAATTCCGACTATGTCATCAGCATTTGTCATGAATCACTATCAAATGGTGATAATACCAGGTGTTCGCGAAAAGGGGAGCTATACCCACCGGCGGCTATAGAGTGAGTGAGTGAGTGAGTGAGTGAGTGAGTGAGTGAGTATGGTTTTGTTAACCACAAGGCAACCCGACCGCCCCCCGGCGGCTAAAGAACACAATCAGTCTCATGTATGATATTTCAGCAAACCGTATTCAAACCAGATTATATTTTGAACTTAATCATCAGATTTAATGCGTTTGAAGTTAATATTAGCGACATTTCTTTATATCTGTTTAATGAATGCTCCCTAGCGGGTCTAAATACGTCCTAATTGAGTGGGTGTTGATTAACGCTGACTGGTCAGCAACATTCAAAGTACACATATATCACGTCCGACTGTAAAAAATCAAGTCTGAACCAGAAAAAAACATTGACCGGAAGTGTACAACGATGATACGCAACCCGCCAAGGCACCTCCTGAGCTCCCGATCCATTCATAATGACAAAGCATAGGTTCCTGTGCGTCAATTCTACCATGAAAAGTCACACGGGTAAGTTCAGGTAATGACGATATTCGTCCAGCCCGATAGTCGGCACTTTGCAAGAAATACTATTGCTGTTTGGAAAGTTTAAATTTGCACAAACAAGGGACATTTGCCAGTAAGTACGATTTCATTGACGTATGGTTTCGTCTCTGCTTTTCTCATATATATGTACATGTTGTGTTGTAAGCATATGTACAGGACATTTGTTTCAGCATTGACACAGTAATCACAGACAACATCTGATGATACTAAGCATGCAACGTAGTGAGACACTGGTCGCATGGGGCCATTAGCTACGATTATGTAGCGAGTCGAACTACTGGCGATATGTATACTTGAAACAACAGGCATGTAGAAGATTTAGAACACTCATCAACAGACCTGATATAAATCTGCTGGCTCTAGTATAGAGGAGGTCGGTAAAAGGTATGTCACCATTGAAAATTGTTTTAGAACCAGGACCGTCATGGATTATTCTGAAAAACAGAATGTCGATATTTGTGATATAAACTTTAAAGATATATGTCTGAACATGATCATGTCAAGTTGTTGAAGGTCTATCAGACAACATAGTACTCCCTTTATACAGGTTCCATTTGACACTGTAGTTGAATGATCAGTTAAGTATTCCTGGAACAGTTCTGATTGTGCCATATGAGGCCAGTAATTACCTGCACCTCAAAAACAGAAATGTGTCGCTTAAATACATATTAATTGCAACCGTAAACTATTGAATACAACCATGGCTTGGTACATGTGTCAAGTGAATGTTGTCATTCAAACACTTGTCTCCCACCTGTGGTTTTTAATCTGATTGTTGGCACCTCGACACCTGAGTTTCCACTCTGATCTGTCATAGGGAGCCAAACTGGCACACGACTTCACCTCCATGACATCCAGACTGACATGTGCCAGTGGACCTGAAAAAGTAGTGATTAATGCAGCTATTTCAAAATCCTTCTTTTGTAGACAGACACAATGAGTGAGTGAGTGAGTTGGGTTTAACGCCGCTTTTAACAGTATTCCAGTTATATCACGGCGTGTCAGCTTAATGTGGGAGGAAAGCCCGAAGTGATGCAGGTCTCAGACGTTTATCACTTCAGTGAAACCAACGAGCACGGGTATGGTGCTGACAAACCTAGAAACATAATCGGGGTGAACCGGGATTCTAACCCAGAATCATAGGTTTCTGGCGTGTCCAGGGGACGCAACTCTGCACAACGAATCGCGGCGCCTTAGACGACTGGGCCACCCGTGCCCCCAGATAGACAGAAGGATAAAGCATAGAAATATACACAGCATATAACATGTGCGCGATTACAGCCAGTAGGTAAATACATATCATGAACTATCAGTCGATAAACTCTATGATTTTATATGCATCAGATAACAATGATGTATATTTATAACACGCCTGATCTATATCCTGAAATATGCTTGAAACACAAGAAATGATAACTTAAAGCACTGGTGGTCGTGGTTCGCCATCAACTCACCTGACATATGTTTGATTAAGGTCTGAACATCACAATAAATACTAGTTCAAACGTGTACGTGGTCATCATCAGCTGGTGCAGTCGGTGGACAACGATGTCAGCTCGATGTGGGAGTATTTCAGTTATATCACGGCATGTCAGCTTGATGTGGTAGTATTTCATATAAATCACGACATGTCAGCTCGATGTTGGAGTATTTCAGTTGTATCATGGTGTGTCAGCTCGATGTTGGAGTATTTCAGTTATATCATGGCATGTCAGCTTGATGTGGTAGTATTTCATATAAATCACGACATGTCAGCTTTATGTGGGAGTATTTCAGTTGTATCATGGCATGTCAGTTTGATGTGGGAGTGTTTCAGTTATATCACGGCATGTCAGCATTGATGTGGGAGTATTTCAGTTATATCATGACATGTCACTTTGATGTGGGAGTATTTCAGTTATATCTCGGCATGTCAGCTTGATGTGGGAGTATTTCAGTTGTATCACGGCATGTCAGCTTGATGTGGGAGTATTTCTGTAAAATATCTCGGCATGTCAGCTTGATGTGGGAGTATTTCAGTTTTATCTCGGCATGTCAGCTTTATGTGGGAGTATTTCAGTTATATCACGGCATGTCAGCTTGATGTGGGAGTGTTTCAGTTATATCTCGGCATGTCAGCTTGATGTGGGAGTGTTTCATATAAATCACGACATGTCAGCTTTATGTGGGAGTATTTCAGTTGTATCACGGCATGTCAGCTTGATGTGGGAGTATTTCAGTTATATCTCGGCATGTCAGCTTGATGTGGGAGTGTTTCATATAAATCACGACATGTCAGCTTTATGTGGGAGTATTTCAGTTGTATCATGGCAGGTCAGCTTGATGTGGGAGTGTTTCAGTTCTATCACGGCATGTCAGCTTTATGTGGGAGTATTTCAATTTGTATCATGGCATGTCAGCTTGATGTGGGAGTGTTTCATATAAATCACGACATGTCAGCTTTATGTGGGAGTATTTCAGTTGTATCACGGCATGTCAGCTTGATGTGGGAGTATTTCAGTTATATCTCGGCATGTCAGCTTGATGTGGGAGTGTTTCATATAAATCACGACATGTCAGCTTTATGTGGGAGTATTTCAGTTATATCACGGCATGGCAGCTTGATGTGGGAGTATTTCAGTTATATCACGGCATGGCAGCTTGATGTTGGAGTGTTTCAGTTATATCAGGTCATGTCAGCTCGATGTAGGATTATTTCAGTTCTATCACGGCATGTCAGCTTGATGTGGGAATATTTCAGTTATATCACGGCAGGTCAGCTTGATGTTGGAGTATTTCAGTTATATCCTTATGACAGCTTTATGAGGGAATATTTCAATTCTATCACGGCATGACAGCATGATGTGAGAGTATTTCATTTATATCACGGCATGTCGGCTCGATGTGGTAATATTTCAGTTATATCACGGCGTGTCAGCTTGATGTGGGTGTATTTCAGTTCTATCACGGCATGACAGTCTGATGTGGGAGTGTTTCAGTTATATCACAGTGTGTCAGCTTGATCTGGGAGCATTTCAGTTATATCAGCTCATGTCAGCTCGATGTAGGAGTATTTCAGTGATATCACGGCATGTCGGCTCGAAAAGGGAGTGTTTCAGTTATATCACAGTTTGTCAGCTTGATGTGGGAGTATTTCAGTTATATCAGCTCATGTCAGCTCGATGTGTGAAGTGCTTCAGTTATATCACGCCATGTCAGCTCGATGTTGGAGGGAAGCCCACAATGATATGTAGGTCCTAGACGTTTAAGACTTTCGTGAAACCCACGAGTATTACAAGCCAAGAACCATAATCAATTTGGGACTCGCACCAATGGATTGGATTCTTGCAAGATTAATATTGGCCCTTAGACAGCATGGCCAATCCCAACTGTTTACTCAAAGCCAAAGAATGTGTTAGGTACATCATATCCCTGAGTTCCGAAGCGAAGTGAGTGTGTGATTATTGCTTGTTGCACCATCAGCAGTGTATTTTCGGAGAGTTTCGATTTTAAAAACCAGATGATTCTCTTTCATTTAAGTCCATTTTGGAATCCTTCATCAAAGGTAATACAGGACAGCCAATTTTGAACAAATCAAATGTGTCCACATCAGCACTTGTTCACATATACGCGGCCATTGTTGTATAGTTGAACGTGAAAGAAAAACGACAAAACCCTTTCTATATTCTTAAAACATCTGTGCCCAAAACAGTGTCTAGTGTACGATTCCGACTTATCATGTGTATGGATCAGCACACACGAACATGTATGAGTAATTGTCACAACCTCTGTTCTTCACAAGCATCAAAAATACAAACAACACAAGAGAAAGCTAAGGTTCTTCATAAAAGAATTACCTGGCTCGGGAGGTGTTAAATCTACAAGGATCCCCTCGCTATGGAGGATGGACTCGAACTGAAGCTCGTTGATGAGGTGGATGTTGAAGAAATACATTGCGCCGTGACGTAGAGACAGATCCTTGTAGATGAACTCGTGGGCAAGGCCAACTCCAAGTCTCTCAAAGTGAGCATACCGATCAGACTACAGGTAAATAAAAAACATTGGGTTATATACACCCACACTGCTATTAATTCCTGTGAATATTTTAATTAATCCTTGACACGTATATTTGTATCTGACACAAGCACAATACAGTTATTACAACTTTTTCCCTTTCCCCGTAGCCTCTATGTTCAAATATAATGAAAAGTACTGTGGAGACATCTTGCTCACTTTTTCACTTTCATCAAGTCTCATCAAGAAACTAAAATGTCTCTTTATCAGATCACGTATTGCGAAAAACATGTTATTCGATCAGGAAAGCACAATATTCTCAGGGGGGCCAGTCGTCTAAGGCGCCGCGATTCGCTGTGCAGAGTTGCGTCCCTTGGACACGCCAGTATCCTATGATAGTGGGTTCGAATCCCAGTTCGCCCCGATTATGTTTCTAGGTTTGTCAGCACCATACCCGTGCTCTTGGGTTTCACCGAAGTGGTAAACGTCTGAGACCTGCATCACTTCGGGATTTTCTCCCACATTAAGCTGACACGCCCTGATATAACTGGAATACTGTTAAAAGCGGCGTTAAACCCGGCTCACTCACTCACAATATTCTCAGATTTATTTTGTATGCATTGCCTTTAGATTTTTGTCTGATAATCAAGTCATCAAGGTGGACTGAAAGCAGTGTAGACATAAGGCCTTGTTTCACTCTCATGAAATATCAATTTTATATTTTGCACATAAATATGGTATTTAATCAATAAAACATACATCGGTGGTTCTCATTTTAATCTTAAACTATAGCTTCATTCACCTTCACAAAATCAAACTCACAATGAAAATCTTATAGTCGTGTCCTTCAATGCCCTCTAATAGTTCACAATGTCCTTTAGGTCCGTAGTCGTAGTTGACGCTCATACACTTGGTCTCCGGGAACTTCATACACTCCTTCACACAGGACCCGGCATGGTTCATACTGAAGAACTCGGCAAACACCGGACCAATCAGTCGGCCGTCCTTCCGACCCGTGAAATGTTTCAGCGCTTCGTGGCCAGCATTGTCAGATGCAGCTAGAAAATTTGGAACATTTGTATAGTTTTAGTGGATATAGATAGCATGGAAATACTACCCAGCAATTTTCCATTTGTCTAAATTCCTACATGTTACCAGTGTACCATACAATCAGCAACTAATGAGATGTTCACATAGCACAGAGTGGAGACTAACATACACTTTCAGACAAACTATCGCAAGGTAGGCTCAAATGAAAAAAATATTTATGGTTGATAATTCATTTACCCTTTTTCAATGAGTGGTGTTGCGTCACTTACCACATTGGTCACTGATGCGTCAAATGTTTGAATTAACTCTAAATGTCTACCATTACACATTTTGAAAGCTTCACTTCAGCCTTGAATGCTGTAACCCTGATCAAATACCTTCTGAGTTGTTGTTTGAAATTTCCATTTAAACAGATGCTCAATTGTAAGTTTTGAATTGTAGACAGAAAAGGCTGGAGCTGCTGGAATACTGCCCGATAAAAAGGGAAAGTTGACTATTGGAAAGTTGAAGTCATCCCTCTTGTCATTCAATCTTGAGGAGAGTTTTTGTCACTGAATCTTTATGTAAAGATGTGAATGGGAAACAGATAAGGCGGTGTCACTAACGGAATTTTATTTCCAGTTAATGTTATGAGGGGATGTGGTGTAGTCTAGTGGTTAAAACGATGGCTCTTCACGATGAAGACTCTGGTTCGATACCCCAATGCATGGATTAATGTCTCATGCCACTTTCTGGTGCCCCCTGCTATTATATGCACGGAATGATGCTAAAGGTGCCAGAAAATATTCGCACCTTCCCAAACATTAAAAACTGTAAAAAGCTATGCACATGTGTAAATGGATATTTTTCTTACAGTCATACTGTACACTGTTCCTTTTCTTGAGATTGACAGAGTTGTAGGCTATGACTTCATCACCATAGATTCCCCTTCCCAGTCCAACACCCACGGAAGATTTAACCAGATCTGAATCGTCATACACCACCACATTCCCTCTCAGCTCAGCTGGGTTACTGGTTGAACTAAAGTCTGGTGTCAGTCTGCCACCAGGAGGCGTGACGTCATAGGTGGGGATGCTGCAAGTCACGGTGGATCTCTTGCCTGCGCTGTTCTCACCATACACCGTGAAGAAGACAGGGGCACCATGACTACTTTGAGGAAATCGCTGCAACATATATATCCATTTTCAAAGATAATAGAATCTTCAGAAAGTTGCCAAAGAAACAATAAGTGCCAGTAGGTAATAAACATCCTCGAAGCCACATACTCCTGCAAACAAATGATTACATAAAATGTGACAAGTAATGTGACTTGGATAATCACTTTGTGAAATCATATTTGATAATTAAGATATAAGCCCAGTGAGGAGTCCGGCTTGGAAATGGTTCTCCGCATCCTATGCTGGCCGTAAGATGCGGCGTTAAAAATCAAACAAATTCTGATGTCATGAAAGTGAGGCCCAAATATGATTGTATTCGCAATACGTGTAGGTATGATTATTTCAATTTGTATGAAACAACCAGATTAACGATAAAAGTGTTTTTAGAGGCATACAGGATCAACAACTCCTTGAAGGTTCTAACACCGTTACTTGTTGCCATCAGATAGTTTCTGGTAGGATCAAACACAAGATCACATGCTTGATAACGTTGTTAGAACCTACACTGAAACGTTGTGCCTAATTGTAATAATGAAGTTGTTCATATATCTTATCCTTACTTACTAAATTATTCTTTGAATTTGCTAAATTAATCTTTGAATTCTTCATTGATGTTTGTCTAATGCTCGGCCGGTAATTTCTTCACTGGATCGTGACAACCCCATTTGGCATATTTGTAGAATGATGGGCTTTACAAGATTAATACAAATCTAAGTTGTATTCATATTCGTGCACCACATCTTCACATGGAAAGATACCACAAGTCGAAAGTCCAAATGAAAGAGACGTTGTACCACCACCAGATATATAACAGAGTTATAGTTTAGTGAGTGAGTATGGCTTTACATCGTGTGAGTATGGCTTTACGTCATGTGAGTATGGCTTTACATCATGTGAGTGTGGCTTTATGTCGTGTGAGAATGGCTTTATGTTGTGTGAGTATGGCTTTACGTCATGTGAGTATGGCTTTACATCATGTGAGTGTGGCTTTACATTGTGTGAGTATGACTTTACGTCGTGTGAATATGGCTTTACGTCATGTGAGTATGGCTTTACATCGTGTGAGTATGGCTTTACGTCATGTGAGTATGGCTTTATATCGTGTGAGTGTGGCTTTACGTCGTGTGAGTATGACTTTACGTCGTGTGAATAGGGATCTACGTCAAGTGAGTATGGCTTTACGTCGTGTGAGTATGGCTTTACATCATGTGAGTATGGCTTTACATCGTGTGAGTGTGACTTTTCGTCGTGTGAGTATGGCTTTACGTCGTGTGAGTGTGACTTTATGTCGTGTGAGTATGGCTTTACGTCATGTTTAGTAATATTCCAGCAGTATCACGACGGGGGACACCATAGAGGGGATTCAGATATTGAGCCCTCGTAGGGATCGAACCCGGGCCTTCGGCGTGACGAGCGACCACTAGGCTATCCTACTGCCCCTGAGTTACAGTTTAGGTGCAGGCAATAATGTACCAAATCAGACATACCTGGGTGATGATTGTTGATGGTCCGCCAAGTTTCTCCCCGCTGAGCACATCACTGAGTCCAGGTTTGGTCCCAGCATCCACAAAGATCTGGACCTGACTCCGGTCATCCTGGGCAGCTATGGCTATCTCTACAGCCGGCTCTGTGTAGTCTCTATCGGGGAGTTGTCTCACTAAGCAGCTCCGTGATGTGGACACTGTCTTCTTCTTTTGACCAGAACCTCCCTGATGGAAACAAAGATTTAGGCAATTAAATATGATATGATATGATATATGACATGCAATCATATCATTGCTTGTATTTATGTGTGTCAATTCAACAAGTTCTTAACTGAATTCATTTTGGATCTGTGCTCAGCTGTTAACAATGGCAGTTACCATAGGACCTTTGGCCAAGTGGGAACTGACCGATTTGACGTACAAGTATGACACAACAGGGATGGCCTGAGGTTATAAAATTTATCCACAAACTGACGTTAAGATATTTAATACATCAAACTCTATAATAAATCCAAGCTTCAGGTCCCATTCCTTTGGCATGTAAACCAATTTGAATGACCCTGAGTGGTTTCACTTTAATGTAACCATTACCACACGGACCCTCCAAGCTGCTTTACATTTAAGGAAAATCAGTCTTATTGCAATATCTCCATGGCATTTGAGCGACGAAAAATTGATTTAATTGGCTGTGTCTGCATAAAACCATCTTCCCGAGGCAAGAGAGTTAACTGTCTTTAAAAGTCCAGTTTCCACCCTTGCCGAACGAGGCTGGAATTCCTGGGCTCGATCGTAGTGCCACCAGTGGTTATTACGAGTTATGTCCCTTCTAAACCTCTCCTATGGAGCAATCAGATTCCACCTCTCGTATCACTTGCTTTTGATACAACCAAAATGGCGGCGCCCAGACAAGGCAATCTGATCGATAACCAAGATCTATATTGTGATAAAACGGGTCTTACATCCATAAGTGCATCAAATCACGTGAGCACCTTGATTAAAATCATGAAAAGATTTGGAAAATATCTGTTGACAACGAGTTGGCGGCGCACATGCTTTGAAAATTCTGCAATCGACGAAATCAGCATGACAGTTTACGAACCGGATTTCGTATTCGTTGCGCGATTTTGATTGGGCTATGCATAGACTCTTTAGCCCAGCCAAAATGTAACTCCATAATACAAGAATGTTCGGCAAGGGTGAAACTGGACTTTTATAGTCAGTTAACTCTCTTGCCTCGGGAAGATGACATTAAACAGCCCCAAACATTGTCTGAAGCCGTTGGAAGATACAGTGAAGCGCCTGTAAAACGATCCAACAGTGCAATAACAAGACCGACTTTGTTAGGTAGAAGTTTTGCAATTATTTGAATTTGAATTATATTGGTTAAATCCTCAGAGAGCCTATCGCTTTCATTTAGAGAGGGTTATCTCTATCCCACAGAATTCTTATCTGGCATCAACAGAATACTTGCCTCTTCGTTCGCCATTTGATACTGATGGAAGCCCATGTACGCAATTCTGAGTTGGACATCAATTGAAAAATTAATGCTGAGGTGCACGAATGGCCCCAACCAGTCATAAGGAAGAACGGAGATGGATATCCGAGCCGATCTCGAACGTATCAATGAATATCGATTTAGACGGTGGAGAGTGTGAAGAACATTTCTACGAAAAGGGACACTGATCCATGAGAGATTTGAGCCACGTCCGCAATAATACTGGTTAGTTTTATTACTTCCTCCAAAACGAATCCATCTGACCCAATAACCAAGAATCCCCAGAACCGGACCGACACAACTCAAGGTTCTGCCTCGGGTTGAAAGACGTGGCGTCTCGTCTTGAAACCTCACGTCTGGTTGATGATCCCGTCTACCTCCGGTCTGACCTTGCCCAATCTCGAAGTGGCAAGGACGGCTCTGGCGAGGGAGATACGGTGAGTACGATAACAAACCAGCCCGAGGCAGAAATTCCGCCATGGCTGGATGTGGGAGACATTTTCAACTCCTCCGAACCCGTGAAGATCCGGGTTAGAATAGGTCTTCAGCAACCCATGCTTGCCGTAAAAGGCGACTCTGCTTGTCGTAAGAGGCGATCGGGTGGTCAGGCTTTCTGACTTGGTTGATGCATGTTATTGTATCCCAAATGCACTGATCGATCGAGACCGGAATGTCTGAGAGAAAGAGAGAGAGAGAGAGAGAGAGAGAGAGAGAGAGAGAGAGAGAGAGAGAGAGAGAGAGACTGGTGGCTCATGCGCGCAAGTCAATTGGCTGTTCCAAACTGCCCCCTCCGCCCATGGCATGAGGTGTAGGTTATTCCGTTTCCGAGTAGGTTAAAAAGTTTGGCTATCTTAGAACGAGGGGAAATAACTGTCTGGTATTGCTTCGACCTTCTATATAAACCAATTCATCCTGCTTACCGGTTTGTCCACATAGTCTAGGAACTCTGGTGGAGACGTGTCCTCCTCCTTCTTGACAGTGTCGAAGAGTCTCTTCTTTATGACTGGTGCAGTGTATCTAAAGATTTCAGCCTCGTACAAAGTCTTCTTAATCTTGAGAAATTTGATCTCTACCGTCACAAGCCCTTTCAGTACCAGTATCACCGGAATTAGATCTAGGTCCATTGTCAGACTGAAAAAAATATGTTTTTCGTATGAACATAAATATTTCCTTTCCAAATAGAATGATACAATATTCAAAAACAAATTCAAAACGCTCCTTACTTGAAATATTAGACAATCGAGATACGTTGCAGTGATTTATTGAGTGATAATTAATCATCATTAACATTCAAGCTAAATTTATATCGTACAGCCTGATAAAAACCCATTGCGATTTGGCCAGGAAAAAGAGTGGCCAAGGCCGTCGGTGCACAATGGCACACATATTGACAGCAAAAATATGTTAGCCAACCACTACTAATAAGTGGGCAATTATAACATCCCGAAATCCCCATATGGGAGATCCATAGCTAAACACAACCGATTGAAACGTTATTTTTATTCATATCAGACTTCACAGATAGTAATGAAATAGTCATCTGAACCAAGTACATGAAAACACCATACCTCAAGTCAAGAGGGAACTTGGAGAATCCTATTTCAGCTCTGGTTGGGAACTGGACATTCATGAGGTAGCCATCGATTCTCAGCTTGCCGTACATGCCTAATCCAATACCCAGTTCTCCATACACATGGGCGCTCCCAAAGGGCACGGCTTCACCAAACACCTTCATACCAAGGATCTTGGCTCCTACGGCTATATTCATACCATAAGATGCTCCGGCTCCTGTTTCTGGTATTGGAAGATTCAGGTAGTTATGACCTCTATATAACTTAATGTTGAACAAGATAAACTGATTCAGCATTGAAATGGTTTCAAGAACATCACTGCTGAAGGGTTCTGTTTTGCATCACCTGCCTTGTGCCACATGTACATCAACAGTGGTCATCATCAAAACGTTGCATGGCCTACCAGGGTCCAACAGGTTATCATAGCGCTACAACTATATGACATCAATACTTCATCATAGGCTTACCCACCCGAGAAGATTCCGGGGTAGAATAGGTCTATAGCAACCCATGCTTGCCGTAAAAGGCGACTATGCTTGTCGTAAGAGTAGACTAACGGGATCGGATGGTCAGGCTTTCTTCACTTGGTTGATGCATGTCATCGATCCCCATTGCGTGGATCGATGCTCATGACATCAATCACTGGATTGTCTGGTCCAGACTCGATTATTTACAGACCGCCGTCATATAGCTGGAATATTGCTTAGTGCGGCGTTAAACAACAAACAAACAAACATAGGCTTACCATAGTCCTACAATTCGTCATGTGTGAGTCGACAATTACTACTATTACTCTCTTACATGGACCTTAAGCGCAATAGCTTCTCTTAACAGAATACACACTCGCTTAATCATTCGATCATTCAGTTTTTATGTTGATGTATGTTACCATGATGTAAATAATAAATTAACCATTAAAGCCTTAAGACATTTTTTCTTTTTCGTTTCACGGGCCCGCCACCCCTACTGAAAAGCAACTGGAAAAGAAATAAATTAAACATAAATATATTTATTTTTATTATGTCTCCCGCTAGTAATATAGACCCTTGTGTACAATATAAAATGTTATACATACGTTCCATATCTACATCACTATCAGTGATTCAAAAAGCCGGTTGCAGTTTTAACTCCACGGCAGAATGACTTTCATGTAAATGAATGATTGACAAAATCAAACATAAAATTTAAAACGTGTGGCCTTAAGGGTCAAACGAACACTGACCAATTCACTGTAACTGGTGGCATTGAATGCTGTAAAGGTAAACAAAATATGCATTCAACTTACCAAAGGTCATTGGGACGAGACCCCCAACAAGAAAGTTTTTTTTGTAGCTGAAAAGTCCGATGCTTGTCCTTGGCAGGCTAAAGTCTCCTTTTAGGATTATATCAAATGAGTTGAAGGAATTCGTCCCATCACGGTTGAGGATTGCATTGACGATGTCCGAATACTGAGAGGGTGAAATTGAACAGTTACTGTATCTGAACAAATGTGTTTTAATTTTCTTTCACTGTTCCTTAAAATCGTGTATCGAGGGGTTTTTTCTCTGAAAAGCTGATAAACTGTGAACGATTAAAGAATCATAGGTCATACAATTCTCATGAATAATACCAAATTGAGCACAGTGTTAAAACACCTACACAAGAATTACAACAATAAAACCTTAAAAAACAGAAACCTTTCACCAGCTCTTGATCTGTCACCTCGGATTTACCTTTTCAAACACAGTCAGATATTCGAGTTGCTTAGGAGAGAGCTTTGGACAGGGTGAACTGTCATTTTGAAAATATCTTTCAAACACCGATCATTGATCAAACAATGTATTTACAAGTCATAAAAATAAAAGGTTCCTTGAAATGATCCAACCAATACTTTAGAGAAAGTGTAGAAATTTATATGCCTAATTTCTTTCCAAACTAAATGAGTGTCACCACTCAAGCATTGTTGACTGTAACATTAACATTTCTTCAATTGAATGACACTTCACAGAATTCAGTTCATTCATTCATGCCTTTAATGACTTTACTTTTTTTATTTTGAAAAAGTATTATATGTTCAGCCTGACTGGCAGTATTCTTAACTTTGACTCTATAACTTATAACACATACCAGGGCAAGAGCCAGATCTCTGAGTTGTCTTGTCAGACGAAGAGCAAGTTCAGGGTCGATGTTCTTGGCATCAAACATGGCGATCATCTCCCCGATGCTCATGTTGGCCAGTTTAGCACCGAGCAGCTGCAGTCCTTTCCCAGTCAGACCTTTCCCCACAGTGTACGCCTGATCCCCGCGACCCAGGATGTCGGTGACCTGACCCAGAACCTTCATGATCTTCTCGCCTGTAACAATAAATGATACTTGGGAATACGTAATTAAAGTGCCATTGAAGGCAGGAAGTAGCATGTAACTAGATGTAGATGAACAATGGTACAACCCTACTAAACACAAATTGTGATTGAATGTATCAACCTTAGCGCGGAGACCTCACTTCTGACCAGAAGGGGCGGTCGGGTAGCCTAGTGGTTAAAGCGTTCGCTCGTCACGCCGAAGACCCGGGTTCGATTCCCGACATGGGTACAATGTGTGAAGCCCATTTCTGGTGTCCCCCGCCGTGATATTGCGGGAATATTACTAAAAGCGGCGTTAAACCATACTCACTCACTCACTCACTCACTCTGACTAGGACAGACAAATTTTAACATTTACCCTTTCAGGCGAAATAAGTCACAACACCTCATGATATTACCGAGGAGCATTGGTATTTTCAAACACGAACTATAGTTTTGTTTGATCCAGCTCGGGAAAACATATTCATTTTATTTAATTATTTAATTAACTTCAGGTACATGTGTATGTCGTGCAGTATAAATATTATATGTAGTATGTTTAAGATTTAAAGCTTTTGGTGACCGAGGGATGAGGATGTGGATGAGTGCATCTCCTACCAGTACCCATGGTCATACCCCGATGATGTATCAATAAACCTTGACATATTATGTATTAACTTCAAGTGTGACCTATATTTTCAGGAATATCCAAAACGACCCACCTCCTTCCATGCCCAGCACGACGTTGCCACCGCCGACCTCCCCTGAGTACAGAATGGTTCCTGGGTTGGCTATACCCATCTTCTTGATGGCACTCTTAGTGTTGGTCGCCATGCCACCCTTTTCAGTGCTTTCCAGTACCTCTGAGCTGAGTCTTTTCTGAAACAGGTGTGGTCTTATTATAATGACATTGTGGTTACCTTTAACACGTACCTTTATAACAAAGGTCAACAATATCTTTAAACCACTTGATCTAGAAACACAATGGTCCATTGTATGCGTAGTGATCCAGATTAGTAAAAAATAGGTATTCATACGAACCATAAAAGGAGTGTCATCATTCTTTTTAAGATCAAGTGTACGCATATTGAACGAAGTGAATCTATACAGACACGTACAAGCATTTATCGCAGATTAACTAAGAACATTTTTTTTGTATTCCTTGGAAGGTGGGCTTGTTAATATTTTTCAGCAAAGATATACAATTTCAGACCATCCAGCAAGTGAACATGTATTTTTGGTAAAATCTGTATTTACTGGAACATTTTTGTTCACCTTTCACGAGGGGCGCTCGGGTAGCCTAGTGGTTAAAGCGTTCGCTCGTCTCGCCGAAGACCCGGGTTCGATTCCCGACATGGGTACAATGTGTGAAGCCCATTTCTGGTGTCCCCCGCCGTGATATTGCGGGAATATTGCTAAAAGCGGCGTAAAACCATACTCACTCACTCACTCACCTTTCATGAAAATTTCAAATGGTCGGTCCTTTAAGCGTATGCCTAATTAAAAGAACTTACAGAGTATTGATAACATATTTGACCATGCCTAGTGAATGAAAAAAACTCATACTGCTTCTGCCTTCAGTCTGTCAAGGAGATCCTTGATTTCTTCATTTGTATAATTCTGCTTCAAAGCTTCTCTAAGGATCCGTTTTACATCGCCCGTTTTCATTCTGTAACAGAGAGACATGTGAAACAATGAGCTGTCAGAAAATATGAATTTAATTAATTAAATTTACTATTACCCTCTCAAAGATTTACTTATGGTTGGTAGTATATGCTATTGAGACAGTTCTAAAACTTTTACTATGAATCACCAATGACAGATCAGTTTGCGTTTGGATCAGGATCTACAAACAAACATCGGGAACATTTCAATTACAATTTCTACTTCATTGGCCATATACAGTTTATAACGAACGAACTGACGGATAAAACGAAATGTGTTTTGATCCCGTCCATTTGTTGTATATTTGCTGTACATATGCTCTATATATGCTTATAACGAACTACGGTTTTAACGAACTCAATGGGACAACTAATTTTAGTTCGTTATAACCGTTATACCACATTACAGTAAACTACGGTTATAACGAACTCAATGGGACAACTAATTTGAGTTCGTTTTAACCGTAGTTACTGTAATGTGTTTCACTTTCAACGGATTGTAGGAGGTATCATGCACGTGATTATTTAGTCAATTAAAAATATAGGGAATGTGTGTCATGACTGTAAAATATTAATATTTGCATACAAAATCAATAGAATATGCATATTTGAACAAAAAAGGACACCTTCATCAGTGTTTTAAAGTTAATCTTACTTTAATGTCAAGTGATATACTTGATATTTATTTGTAAATGTGGAAGTATATCTTGGGGAAATACTCACAAATCCAGAACATCTCTCTTCCTCCTTCTTCGTCCACCAGGTACACAGGAAGGAACCTGGAACATCTTTGTGTCCAGGAACTTGTGGTAATAGCATGTGTTGGGGAGCTCAAGGCCGCTCGTGGTGCATATTTTCAGATGAAAGGACACTTCATAGAGGGACGGAGTCTTGCTGATGAAGTAGCTCAATGAGATGTCACTGCCAACTGACACTGTGTGGTTTTTGTCTAAAACATTGTGAAACAGGTGGAAATATCGAATATATTATCTCATCCGTGTAGGCATTGCAGTTATCTCTAATAGATTAGATTAAAAACGGTTTGATTCATAAACACATGCTTATGATATGGTCGGAATCTTATAATGGATTTCTTATGATTATGGAAATGGTTTTTCGTCGCTGTTATTGCTGTAGTGGTGTAAATTCACTTAGTTCATGGCAAAACGGATATCAATGCAAACTACCATTCTCGTCAAGAAAACAAACATAAAGAAAAGCATGCCCAACTGAAATAATTCTATCCTGTTGGTCCCTTTCCTATGTTTTAATGGACCGCGGTTTATATCGTTCATCATAAATAGCCGCCCTATATCCCCTCATTACTCACCATATTCCACAGTCTGAAGATTCTTAGTCCACTCTTTGTTCTCCATATGGTACACAAGTTGGTCATTACAGTGGTCAACCTCGATGCCGGCAGTGATGGAGTAGATGCCGAGGTACTTGAGGTCGACGTCCACACAACACGTGATGCCCATGCAGTTGTCAGTCAGTCGACAGGTGCTTGAGATGGCAGCAGGAAGGGGTTGTTGGCAATCTACTCAGTATAAGATTCACAAAATGTGCATTGATCATGAATTTAGAGATGACATGCTTTATTTTATCTAAAAATAACAACATCTAACCCGAGTGAAATAACACTTTTTGTCGGAACAACTTTCAAACCGCCTGAATAAAGCTATAGCTTACAGGGACAGATGGTGGTGATCAATGAGAAATATATATAATAATATATATAATATTTAATAACAAATTAAACATTTGTATTGTCTTCTCAAATAACATGTTATATAATTTGACTGTGTCACTAATAAATATGTCAACAGTGTCTGTTCAATTGATGAGATAAATATGTTATCTTAGAAGTAAATACGCATATTCATTGTAAAATTATCTCCATTTTTCTTTACACTTCGTCTTATTCTCATTAACTATATTTCTATTAATGCAAATAATTAAAGGGTTGATTTGAAATAATACGCTTCCTTACCCGAGGTTTGAAGAGCACACTTTTCAACCTTCCAAAAGTCAAGGGACAGTCCTGCAATACAAAATCAGTCATCTCGTGGATATCACTTCTTTGTTTGACATAAGGTACATAAGGTTCATGGCTACTTCAGATTCAAGCATGCTATTGCTGTGATATGAAGTAATGTTTGGAATTATAAGAAAAAAAGATATGTTTCGCGTTTTCAAAACCAAAGGCCAGCTCCATTACCTTCATGACAGCAGCACAATGTCAGGCACATATATTTTCATTCTTTTTTCTTACTGTTTTTATCACTGGTCAAACATGGACAGCAAATAAAACATAAATGTCTCACAACGGGAAACTCATAAATCCGAATGTTCTCCTTTCACAACTATTCGTTGTACCAATCGTGAAAACTTTGAGGCTCTTTGTCAACCAGTACTGAATACTGCTTCTCAGTACTACTTCTCAGTACTACATTACAACGGTATGTAAAACTGACCCTGCTTCATGGGATTGTAAATGTTCAGCAAGTTGCTGCAAGCAGGTGTTCTTAGATGTTTCAAAGGTTGAAATGGAGAAACTAAGTGTATGTACATGTCTTAAGAGGGCGGTGGACTAGCCTAGTGGATGAAGCCGTCGCTTGGCCCGCGTTCGACTCCCACAAAGCGGCGCAAAATCTAGCTCACTCACATGTCTCATGAGTGAGTGAGTGAGTATGGTTTTACGTCGCTTTTAGCAATATTCCAGCAATATCACGACGGGGGACACCAGAAATGGGCTTCACACATGTGTGGAATCGAACCCGGGTCTTCGGCGTGACGAGCGAACGCTTTAACCACTAGGCTACCGGACCGCCCCACATGTCTCATGACAAAATGGCAATATAAAATACTGCACTTGCAGCACTACTTCAAACTAATTGCGCATAGCTAGTCAAACTTGACAAATGATAAATAAAATAAGATAGTGTTTACATAACGGTTTCGATAATATAGATACACGATTAGGGCTCCATCAATAAGCTAGATTATACATATCATGCAATTCGAATGTGCCGATGTGAAACCATGGCATCCTGGCATCCATTGTATCCACCTTTCGAATAAGTGATGACAAATTTTGAAGTCAACTTTTATTAGTACAGTATTTACATTGCATTAAGCCATGGTTCGCGTATCGTTATGATTTCTCGCCGCCATGTAAGTGTATGTAATTACGTACCTCTCAACGACATTGGTGGACTCGAGTTGCACGGAGAATAGACTAGTTCCGAATTTGACAAGACTGGGACGTCAAATACGCATGTGTTGCCCTCAAAGCAGATCTTCAAACGCAGGTCAATCACCAACTTCTGTGAGGCTGGGATGTGCGTTAGTTTGTACCTATGGTGATATTTTGGAACCAGCTGTTATATTTATTGTATTAATTGTATCCTTAGTCGTACATTTTATTTCCTAACTGTTGAGTGCATAACTTCCTTAAAGTGACCATTGGTCGTGAGACGTCTGTTTACTAAACAAAGAAATTCTTACCAACGAATCAGGATTTTGAATGTAAGACATGAAATGTATGCTTTCTTAACAGAAGCTTTGTATGTAAGTAAGGAATTATCTTTCAGCATTTAGACTTTTTGCTAAAGCCTTTATAGTACTTCCCAATTTCGCAACGAGTATTGAATAGCAGCACGTCACTCACACTTGAAGCTTGTATCACTGACCTAACATGCCCTAAATTGTTGATTATAAATGTTACTTACGTCAGATGCGCCATGGACCCAAGGATGAAAAGCCCATTCGTACCTGAAAATATTTACATACCCAAGCATGACACACTGACATCAATACAAATGACATTCGTTTTGTTTTGAAGAGCACACACATATTGGAAAGATATTATTGCAATATCGTTACAAGTGTGGCATTTTTGTCTCCTTTTATTTCAAAGTTATTTTGGATAATATATGTACCCCATTCGTACTCCAGGAGAGACAGGGTCGATGACAGATTTTCAAATGTCATAGTAATCTGAAGGTTACAAATATCCACATCAAACTTCATCTGGATTGCTCTATTGATAAGGGGGACGTCCACACAACAGCCGACAGTGGAACAGTTGTCGTGCAAATAGCATCTCACAGAGTCTGGCAGTGATGGTACTGTGATGTTACTGCATACTAGAATGAATGAAAACATAGAGAAAAGATTGTATAATAGGAACATCAAGATAACACTTCATGTTAAGGAGTTAGTTACTAGTCTGCATTTGAGAAAATAATTGGCACAGAGGGAAAGGTCATGAAATTATATTTTGGAAACAGGAAGATTTTGTTCAATTTCGGGAGGCATCTGCATGCTTAAAAGATCAAACATTTTATTCCATACATGTGTGTACAATATACGTATGGGTGTATATGGTGTAGCAAGTTATCATCAGCATTTGATATAGTTTAAATAGTTCGCTTAGCTAATACACACAACCAATGCAATGAGTAGGTAAAATATGTTTCTGGAAATTAACATAATTGATGGTTTTATGAAAAAGGCAGTGTAGAGGCCCAACATTGCTTTTTTCTCAATGGACATTTATTCAAGGACTATTCTGAACAGCATTTATCGCTACAGGAGAGTGGATCAGGATAGCTCTGTGTGTAGACCTACCACCATTCCAGTTGTTTACCCCAGCAGGAGAATATGGACTTGCTGACTGGTCACAGGCTGGACTGAGGAGATACTGTGACACGCCGAGATCATCCAGGAGCTGAGATATCAGAGTATCAGAGAGAGTAGAGACGGTGGAGGACAGCCCCTTGCCTGACGCCCAGTTGGACAATGTGAAATCTGGAACAAACCATACAATCAACTGCATGTACATGCATTCTAAATTATTATTTAAATACTGTTCAAATAAAAATGTTACATTATCTTTAGTCCACCATTCCTGGACATTTTGTTTCTTCTCAGAAAACGCGAAAAGAAACACAATGTTTGTAATATTGGTGACAAAAATGACCATAGTTATATATGGACAACCACAGAAGCCATACAAGCAAACGTTTACTTCACTCTTGGTCAATGTAAGCTCGAACTCGGAACGTTTATACCATTTATGATCACTGACAAAAATCAATTTACTTTTCTGTTTCAGCATGGCCTCCCAGTCACACAGGGGTTGTGGTATCTTGGCTTTGTCAAGGAAGGTTTTAGAGAACAAACACTCGTTCTGTTTCAGACACACACTGACAGCTGCTGTCACCTCCAGTTTCCTCTCTGACGACAAATGGTTGATGGTGTAACTGAAACACAATGGCTTCAGTTATTGTTTCCGTAATATGTACGTAATCTCTTTAACTGAATTGTTAATTCTGTAGCGTGTTTGTAAACGCCAGTGTCGTATATGCATGTATTATAAGCATATAATATTATGTTTTACAGGTACAGTTACTAATGTAATACTCACCTTACTCGGATAACACCTTTCACATAGAAATGGTCCTCTCTACCTGAAATCATAGGAATCCACCCATTGTAAAATCACTGTTCATAGTGTATAAATATTAAACACAGAGACAGACCAGTCTCGATTATCTGCAGAAACAGATTTTATTGAGCGTTAAAAGTAACAAGGCGGTGAAAATTATACGAATACATCACTGAAAATCAGTGATGGTTCCAGAACGTTAACATAATACAAACCTGATCCTTATCTATGTCATCTTCTTTATGAATACTTGCAGATCATGTATAATAATGTAACATTTGGGAACCGTTTGAGAAAAAAACTAAAAAACCTTATGTCATACCCCACTGATAATCAAACAACATCCGTTTATAGACCAGATTTCCCACGCCCACTGTCAGCTGATAGGTGCACATGTCCACTGTCAGGAACATGTTGAAGGCACGTGACAGGAAGTCGATGTAGATGCAGCAGTCAATGGCGGTGCAGATGTCGGGGACGTGACATGCCATGGAACCAGGGAGTTCTGGGAGGTTCTGGTCAAGCCCAGGAACTGGACACTCTGAAAGGTCAGTAAACTGTATAGTTGCACTCCTTTTCAATATGCGGTTAACTTTGAAATGAACGTATAAAATGGAGCACTATATACATAAACACCATATCACAATTAAATTTAACTAAGTTTACGTAACAATAATGTATTTCGTGATTCCTTTCTTGTAATTAATCTGCATACATTTTACCAAATTCACTGGGCCTAACCTTAAAAAAAGAAACGATTTTCGCAGACAATATACCAGTTGGTGAAAACGCTTGAAAAACAATTTAACTATATCGGTAACATCTCACAAGTGCATGTAACTATAACCTGTTTCTTCTCGGACATACCATTGCTCCATCCAGTAACAGCAGGCACATAAGGACTTTTTGTTATTTGACACTGTGGTGTTTTCAGATATTCTGAAATCCCTAGACGTTCAAACAGTTTGTCTGCGACGACTGACGTAAGGCTTGTTAATCCAACTGAATCCATTTCACCCAGGAAGTCAGACAAAACAAAATCTGTACATACAAGAAAAATCAGAAACATTAACACTAAATAACTACAGTTTGTCTGTAGCAATATCAGTTTAAGAAGGTATATACACATACATGTTTCAGTATTTATGGCACTCCTTTGGTCAAAAGAAATATTTGTTTTCAACTGACTTACATTTTTATCCGGTTTATTTCGATATTGAAAACATATAGCAAGCAAAAAAACTAATGCTCTCCTTCAAGAGATGGTCCTTGAGAAAACATCCGTACAAATGTCTTCCATATCTTTCATCCAGCTAACTTATTATTTAGATCTCATCCTTAAAAAAAAAACTTAGTGCGAGGAAAAAATGTTATTTAAGGTATAACGTCTCGAGCCGGGACGCATGTAGAATTCTGTGGTTGTACGCCTGTATAACCCTCACCCACATCACTGACCTGCAAGAGCTGCTGTACTCTCCCAGTCACAGACCAACTTAGGAATCTTAACGTCCTTCAGAGCAGGGAAAGAAATGAGACAAGAATCCTCCTCAAAACAGACACTGATGTTGAGGTTGATCAGGAACTTCTTTTCTCCGAACAGATCATCTATCATAAAACTGAAAAGAAAAACTACAATACATACACAATATTTGGCTGTCATATGCCGCTGTGCCATATGCAGTGGGTTTAATTTGTTAAGTCTAATGGACGTGGCTATAACGTCTTTTTGTATTTACAATATGTATAGTTATAAATATATGTATAACATATAGAGAATGGTAACTAACAGTGAAATGGGATACATACTCAACACGGACTACGCCCTTCAGATCAAAGTGTTCCCGTTTTCCTGTAAAGACAATATTGTAGCAATAATATATATATACATGTTGCTATGAAAAAAAAAAAGTTGCCAGAATCATCAAACATAATTTTTATCATATGTAGTTCTATTACAGTTATAAAAGTAAAGTTCATCCAACATTTCGTTTTTAAAAAAATATATATGTGGGGGCTAGCGATATTCCATTCAATCCATCCAATTGCCTCTTCACCGTGAATACCAACGCAGTGAACATGTAATAACTTAATATGTTTACAAATGATGAAGTTGATTTTCTCGTCCCATATACCGTATTACATGGTCAGATGAAAGATAAAATTATTTAGAAAAAGGTTTTAACAGATTCCCGCGATTTCAAACTGGGTCTTATTAATATACTTCCCGCATCTAGATGTTGTAATATCCGCTATCCAACCTTAGATCTACTCTTTAAAGATATATGTCCTTCTCACCCCATTTGTAGCTGGACAAGGCCCTGGTGAAGACGAGCTTCTCTATGCCCATGGTGAAGGTGTAGGAGCAAGGGTCTATTCCTATCTGGACGTTCAAGGATCTCCCGATAAAGTCCACGTCAATACAACACTGTATGGAGCCACACGGGTCTGACAGATGACAGGTGACGGAGTCTGGTAGTGTGGGCAGGGTGAGACTGGCAGGGCAGTCTGCGACAGCAAGTGTACACTACGGGTACTACGTGTTTATAATGTAATGAAAGCAACAGAAAAGGCAGGAAGGCATGACCTCTTTGAATAAACGTATGGCTCTGTATATCAACAGGTTAACGCTCAAAATATAATCGTTAGCACTGGTGTTCAACAAAACAATAGTCATGTATATAAAAACATCTTCATGATTATAAACGTAAAATTATCAATCACGATAATAGATTCCATTGGGCGTAAAAGGCAAAATGGCGGGAACATTATCGGAAAAATCATGCAACAAAGCAACTTCTGATGAAAGTATTTCATTATCGTCATATACAATGCTGTCAGTGATGGGGGCGGTCGGGTGGCCTAGTGGTTAAAGCGTTCGCTCGTCACGCCGAAGACCCGGGTTCGATTCCCAAACTGGGTACAATGTGTGAAGCCCATTACTGGTGTCCCCCGCCGTGATATTGCTGGAATATTGCTAAAGGGGTAAAGCGTCACTCACTCACTCACTCACTCACTCACTGTCAGTGATGGCTGCATCAAACAAGATGTTTCATTGTTTTTCATTTGCAAAGCAGACATCATCCATATTAGAACAGTTGCAAGCATAGTCCAGGGAATCAGCTGTGGTCTTAATCAATGCTTCACGTCTTTCATTCAAGAATTCATAACCTTTACCGTATTTGTCACATGTCAAATAAAACTGACTTCAACAAATGCGTGCACTACAGATATGGATACCATCATTGTTGGATCATAGTGATGGCAAAGATGGCAACAATGTTGCAGTTACCTTTTTTCCAACCCCCAACTGACCCAGCATATGGGGGTAGAGTCCGGTCACACTGGGGGTCCCTCAGGTAGCTTGTGACACCAAGCCTGTCCAACAGTTGGGACACAGCGAGCCCAGACAGTTGTTGGCCAAAGGGAAGTTTCATACCAGTCAGCCAACTCTTCAACGAAAACCCTGCCAGAAACACATGACTGACGAAATACGCATAATGTCGGAAAACGCATGTTAAACCACTAACAGTAAGTAAGTAAGACTGTAGTGAGTGAGTTGGGTTTAACGCCGCTTTTTTAACATTATTCCAGTTATATCACGGCGTGTCAGCTTAATGTGGGAGGAAAGCCCGAAGTGATGCAGGTCTTAGATGTTTACCACTTCGATGAAACCCACGAGCACGGGTATGGTGCTGACAAACCTAGAAACATAATCGGGGCGAACCGGGATTAGAACCCACAATCATAGGTTTCTGGCGTGCCCAAGGGACGCAACTCTGCACAGCGAATCGCGGCGCCTTAGACGACTGGGACACCCGTGCCCCCTAAGTAAGACTGTAGATACATTACTGATACGTATTACAAGAACAGATTGGTTATAAGAGATACCAAAACTCAGACTGTTACATCAAAATTGCAATTTGAACGCTCCTTAAATATTATGATTCAGTTGTTACCAAAATCAAATCATTGTCAGAATACCGTTGCCAGTCTTGGAGAAGGGTTTGTTCCAGTTCCAAACCAGTTTAGGGAAGCTGACATCAGTGAGGACAGGCAGGCTGATGACACAAGGCTTGTCTGCCTCAAAGCATAGGGACAGGTTGAAGCTCTGTAGGTACTTCCAAGCGTGAACGAGGTCGTCAATCTTGAAGCTGAGGATTAGTACGAATCACTTGCGTTTACGCTCAGTTATATCACTGCCTGTCAGGTTAAGTGACGCAAAATCTAGGGATTTGAGGTTTGTGATTATTCCATGAAAACATCATCAATAAGCTTGTCAAGAATAGATTGGAATGTTGGAGTATTATTTCAGACATCACCAACTTACGAATTACATCAAAGTTACAGTAATGACCTTAATATTCTTTAATACTGCTGCATTCAAATATATATATATATATATATATATATATATATATATATATATATATATATATATATGTGTGTGTGTGTGTGTGTGTGTGTGTGTGTGTGTGTGTGTGTGTAATCATTTTCGGGAATCATTTTCACATTATTAACTATAATACATATACATCATTCAATATGTATGTGCAAACTTACTTCAATCTCACAACTCCATTGAGGTTGAAATGCTCCCATTCGCCTGAAGAAATACGTTATATGGTATAAATGTGTAGTTAAGAGAAACCAAGGAATTAATGGAAGATATACATTCTGTAGCAATTGTTCGGAATGCATGTATGAATAACGTTTATTAAATGTAATATGTAAGTGATTCTAGATATACAAGAACATATAGTTAAGGATGACAAGAGTTAATGCCAAGAGGAAGCTACGTGTTGTCTGAGATACCTATGAACTAACAAAGAAGACATGGTATAATGATATCTCCCTGTGTTACAGTAACAACTCAATCTAACATACAATTCGTCACTTCAGATTTTTGGGGAGTGATGTAGCCTAGTAGTTAGCGTTCGCTCGTCACGCCAAAGGACCAGGTTCGATTTCGATCATGAGTACAATGTGTGAAGCCCATTTCCGGTGTCCCCTGGGTGTTACTGCTGTAATATTG